GGGGAATTTAAACCCTTCACCGCACTCCTGTCTAAGTGCTCTGGCTTTAGCTAGGCAGAATAGCTTTCAGGTTCAAGGGCTCTCGGCACCCCTGAAAGATGCTCTGTGTCTTTAAGGTCAAGGCATGTACTCTTCATCTCAATTCTGAGTCAGGCTCCTTTGTTCGTTCCCCCTCCTGCTTTTTCTCCTGCAAGTTTTCAGTTTTCTGTAGCTTAACAAGCATCTTGTGTTTGTAACGGACTAGATGATATAGAAGTCAGATTTGTCTTGGACAACTGGGAGGCCAAAGGCTCCTTCTCACAAGCTGATGTTCACCGCCAAGTTGCAATTGTGTTCAGAACGCCACCGTTTCTCAAAGACATCACCGAGCCTGTCACAGTGAAGATGCAGTTAAGAAGACCTTCCGACCAGGAAGTCAGTGAACCAATGGACTTCAGATACCTACCAGACGAAAAGGGTATGGTTACCCTTGGTTGAATCTCTTAAAAGTTACTATCAATGCAGAACGCTTGTTTATAGTAAACAGTAACTTCATTAGTAAAAATTTTACAACGCTACTTTTACAATGTGATTTTTGTTTAAAAAAAACTACCACTAGTCAGTTTGCTATTTCAATGAAAACATCAAGAGTCATGGTTAACAGTGTCTTGGTTTGTTAGCAGTGTAGCCACATCTGAAATATATTTTTAAAATACATTTTTCTACAGTAAGGGGCCACTAGTGTAAGTTTTAGAGAGTTTCTTTACAAATTATTATCTCAAAGAATTTTAATTAACAGTGGTCTTCCTTCTACTCCTTTTGTTGTAGATCCATATGGTAACAAAGCAAAAAGGCAAAGATCAACACTGGCTTGGCAAAAACTCATACAAGACTGTGGTAAGGGAAATACTTGTCTATGTCTTGTCTGGGCGAACTAAATGGTTAGATGGGGTCATTTTATTTGAGAGCAAACATTCAAAGTAGATTCGTGCTTCTTCCGTCACAGGATCAAATGCGACAGAGAGGCCCAAAGTGGCTTTGTTTTCTGCTACCAACCCTGAAGGGAAGATGATCAAGAAAGGTAAGTTTTGGCTTGCATGTCCCAAATCCAAGAGCAGTTTGAAACAAGCAGTGTCTGATTGCTGTGGGAAGGGGCTGGTGATTTTCAGGGAGCACTGAAATTCCCAAGGCGGCAGCAGTACCTGTCTCTTATTCCTCCTCAGCAATGCTGTAACTTCCTTTTTCCATACGAGAGTGCTCTAGCCTCTTCATCATAATGCTTACGTTTAAATAAAATTAAAATTATATTGAGGCCCTTTCTAAGCACTGCTGTCTTTAGTTCAGATGAGTCTTCATTGTCTCTGGGTTCAGATACTCTATCCTTCAACCCTAACACTCAGTTCCTGTCCTTCCCTCCTGTTTGCTAAAAATTCTGGTATTTCCTCAAGCTTTTCTCCCTGTAGGATACTGGTACTTCTGGCTATACAAGCTAAACCCATCAATTCTTTGTGTAAAAGAAGGTTGTTACCTTCAGCATGCCCCATAAAGGGGGGTGTAAGGCAGACAGCTGTCTTGCTGCTGTCCAGAAATATAGTGCTTGTCCTGGACAGCACTGAAGCAAGTACGTAAAGTGTGGATCCACAGATAATCTTGTTAAGACAACCATTTTTGCCATCTGTAATTAAAACAAGCATACAGAAATGGCCTAAAAATACAGTAATGTCTTTCCTCTTCACAGAACCAAACATGTTTTCATCCACGCTGATGATGCCAGGGCTAGGAACTCTGCCCAGCTCCGGTCAGATGTATCCCGGGTGCAATCAGATTCCCCATCAGCCCGCACAGGTGGGCCCAGGGAAGCAAGACACGCTCTCTTCCTGCTGGCAGCAGCTGTACAGCACCCCCTCCTCGGCTGGCAGCCTGCTCAACACGCACCCACAGAACAGCTTTGCGGCCGACGTGCCTCAGCCCGGCGCGCAGGGCGGCAGCACTCTCCCAGCTTTCCACGATAACCCTCTGAACTGGGCTGATGAGAAGGATTCCAGCTTTTACAGGAATTTCAGCAGCACTAACGGGATGGGAGCAGTGGCGGTGTCAACTGCAGACGTGCAGAGTGTTTCCAGTAACAGCATCGTGCACCAGACTCATCAGGCCAGCAACACAGCAAGCATCATGAACATGGAGACCGATGACATGAACTGCACTAGCATAAACTTTGAGAAGTATAATCAGGTGTTAAATGTAAGCAATCACAGGCAGCAGCTCCACCAGGTGCCTCCAGCTTGTCCACCTGTGGTAGCCCCTGGCAGCACACCTTTTAATTCACAGTCTAACTTAGCTGACCCAGCAGTTTACAGTTTTTTAGACCAAGAAGTTTTAAGCGAATCAAGACTATCCACCAACCCTATCCAAAATCATCAGAACAGCATTGCAGATAGCCAGTTCTATGACACTGACGGTGTCCACACTGATGAGCTCTATCAGTCTTTCCAATTTGATACCATATTGCAAAGCTATAACCATTGAGCCCGTGCTGTCGGGCTGAAGTGGGGTACGTACAGCGACCAGTAGCTTACCCTTCTTCTGGATTCCCTGCTTTCTCTTTCAGAATGTCACTATGAAAGTTTCACGATGTAACTTCAAAGTTATATATTACAGCCCAAAGACTGGTGCCCGTAAAGAAGAAAAGTGGGAGTAGGGTTTGGGGTTCTGTACTTTAGAAGTGCCTCTTAGACATTTTTATGCTGTTGGAAAAGGGAATTGTTAATACTTAAAGCATCGTTACCTTTAGGGATAGTAAAAGCTGGTATCTTCAGAAGGGTCAAATTTCATATAATTCACAGGGTTAAAATTGCCTGCAAAGAAACTATTTTTGCAATGGAAAGTACTTTACGTTTTGATAGAACAGAAACTAGGAAGAAACTGCACACGGGCACTCTAGTTCAGATTCACCTAATGTTAAAGTTTTACTCAATTTGCTTGAAAGATTCAGGTTTCTTACCCTCTTTCATATAAAATATTTTTCTCCTAAAACAAGATCATGCATTGATTTTTCACATTTTCACCGTATTCCATTTGCTTTCAAGGCAAATTTACTCTAAAAAAATTTAATGACTATGTCATTGTTAGATATATTTTAAAAGACCGGAAGGTTTGAGTTTTTAAATAGTCCAGATCTGTTGTAAATGAATCACTGCACAGAATAATGAACAGAAAGTAAGGACTTCTCTGCACTTCATCCCAAGTGCACTATTTTAAATGACAAAACCCTGTTGCTTTAGGAATGGAGCATGCCGTTATTTCTCCGGGATTTGTTTTTGTGTGTATGTAGCTGTGATGCGTATTTTATTTTGATCTGCAGAAATAATATTGAGCCGAAGCCTCTACCTATTCTTTCCTCAGGTATCCTGGCAGTTTCCTGCTATGCAAGTGACTGCTTAAAAAATGGCTCAGATCCGGCCTCCCCACCACCCCCTCACAAGAAGGCTTGGGGTAAACCCAGAGGCAGTCTTAGTGCAGCCAAACTTAGATGCACTGTATTAACAATTTAAGGCCATTTCAGTCTGTACTAATTAAAAACACTCCTTTACACTCTGTATCAGAAACCAGAACTTCCTCTCTTCACTTGCTTCCCAATCTTCATTCTTAGCCTGAGGTGCGAGGTGTCCAAGGACAGCTCGCACGAATTAACTGGCTAGGTGAGACACTTGTCTGCATATAGGGCTTTGCTATTTTATTATTATTATAAAAAGCAAGACAGCAAGAAATATATCAGTGCATTTCTTAAGTTATAGAGCTGTTTCATATGGCAGATAAGGCTTAAGGATCTAATTTTTACTGTTTGGCAACATAAAACTGCACCACGAAGAGACATATTAAATAGCACACTTGAATGTAAAAGAAACAAAAAACACAACCCCAAATTAAAAAAAGCTACTTGAGATGTACAGTTGTATGCAAGGCAGAAAGGAACTCCAAAAAAACTCAGTGGTTTATGGGAAAGCAATGACTGTTTAAGTGCAGTAATTCACTGCATTGAAGGCAGTGAGGTGCTGCAGCTGTAACGCACGACACCAATTACACAGGTTTGACGGAAAAGGTTCTTTCGAGGTGTATAAATGAAGTTTGGAACACTGCTTCCTGTAACTTCAGTACACGACAGAATGAATTGACTCTCCACACTTACGTACTTAAAGCAAGTTTTTCTCACTTCTGCAAAACACTTACCTTTTCAGGAGCTCCGCCGCAGTCTTCTGACAGAAAAAACAAAGAAATACAAAGAAAGCTTGAAATGTGTTGTTTATTCAGTTCTTTTTTTTTGAAGTTCTCAACTTTAAGTTTATTAAAAGTAAACATTTTCCTTACTTTATAGAATGCTCTTTATAGTACAATTTGTTTTTACAGTATAATTAAATATTTTCAAAGTTCTGTTTTCCTTTGTAAACAAGTTGGTTTGGTAATTAAAAAACTGGTTATACTAAGGACTCAGCTTCTGCAGCCTTCTCAGATTCACAGCATCCCTCCCATTAGGGAGACCAGAGCAATCGGAGGAATTAGGCTTTGGCTTGCTTATCCTGGGGCTCTTAAGACTATTTTGTTCTGTTCACAATTACTGTTGGCTGCTGTGAAACCTTAAGCAATGTGCGCATTAAGGATTCATTTGCGCTCAGCATTTTTTTGTGGCGCAGCAGTTGACTTGTTGGGTAGATGGGCGCAGAGCACAGATGCACTCGGGCTCTGCTAGAGACGTACACCAGGTACAGCTTGCACTCACCGCCTTCCCTGCAAAGAGCTGTCTCCAGGCTCAGCTACACTGATACAAAAAAATGGAGGGGGACGTTTTATGTGCCCAGTTGTTTGGAGAAATACAACAGCCTCATTTTAAATCTTTCCAGTGTGAAGAAAGATGATGCTAAGGAACAGTGCTTGGACCTTGTTTTTCAGCATTTTCCATGCAACAGGCTAGAAAATACCTTCCTCTTAAGCACATGCCTCAAGAACAAAGTTAAATCATGCTCTTGTTATTCTCACAAAACATCCTGAGTATCCACACGTAGGCGGTTTACTTTTAAAAACAAGATGAAGGCCAAAGTAGAACATTAACACTATTGTCGCAAAATTCCTTACGGATTATGCTAGTTCAAAATGTTTATCATATTAGAAACTGCAGACTTTAAGCAAAGTTCAAAGACTGGATTACAGCTCATTTTCATACAGCCACGTGATAACCGAACAGTAAATGACTAGCTAAACAGCTGTACAGACATTTGCATCATCAACTTTTTTTTTTCTTTTTCCTTCCTCTGGTGTATTTCATTTATCATAAAAAGCCATCTAAAGATTTTTGGTGGACCTCGCACCATTGTATGGAGAAGATTAGACTCAGTGCCTTTAGTATAGTCTTTAGAGCCTCATTTCCCTGCATTCTGATTCTTAACAGTGTCCCCTGTCACCATGACAATGCAGAGCATATTGCAGGAAGCTGAACCTGAGTGCACCTTAAGTGTCTGAACTATGACCGGAGTAGGAGTCCTTCCTGCTGCTGCCTCGTTCTATTTCCCCCCTGGGCCAGCTCTTCTAATGTCTGTTGTGCCCATAGTGCAGCCTTGCTTACATTTTTCCCCTCTAGTTTATGGAATTTATAAATCACATTTTAGCTCACTCTGAGTTTCTGTCAAGAAATCACATAGATATGAGACTGAAATTCTCTTCTGTTTGTTTTCTGAATTCAGTTTCTTAAGTTTTCCATCTTTCACGACACTTCCTTTCTGGGTACTGATTGCTATCTGAGGCAACTACTCCTAGAATCTGTTGCTCATAACAGCTTTCAGATTAAAAACAAAGAAATCTTGCTGTCTGTATCAGGTTCCTACTGTTTTGTATTGGAAAAACAGGAGCTTCTGAACTGCAGCTATACTCGTGTCACAGTGGACTAGAAAAACAAATGATGACAGTCAAGTTCTGACAGCCCATCACAGAGTATACAACATTTAGACTAATTTTTCAAGATAAGTTTTTAGGCACTCCATTAGAATGTATGCATTAGTGCCTTTCTGAGCCTTCAACTAAAGTTACCATGCATCTGCTCTGCTGGGAAGTCCTGGCACCGCTGACTTCAAGGTAACACATCTCAGTAATCTTCCCTGTCCCTAAACTGTTTTTTCCTGGAAAATCATTACCCTCAATCTCTGAAATGTTCGTTAATGAAGAGCCCTTAAATTCCAAACCTTAATTTCTTGAAGACAGCGTAACTCTTCAGTACTTCAGGTGAGCAGAAACATCTTCCTCACTGAATTAACATCCAGGTACCCATCCAAGGCTAGGTACTAGAAAAAATGCAATACACTGCGACCGTACTGCAAAACAAGGCATTTTATCTCTGTCTTGGTCTTTTAACACCAACATTCTTCAGAATGTTCTATATTTATTTGCACTTTGGGGTTCCTGGTATCCCTATTTTTCGCTAGAATTCCATCACGCATTGCCAGGAATTCCCTATCTTTTGGTGACTCACGGGGAAATCCTGTGCGTGAAGACTGTAACCAGGCCAGAGCTGCTGAGGCCACAACTACCTCAGAGTGTAGTTTCTAGGAAGCATCGCTGATGTTTTACAATGAGAAAAACAGTTTTTAAGTGCAAAGTTTTTATCTGCAAACTGTTTTTCCCTTTGAAAAGCACTCCGAGAGGCAAATATGTCTGTCTCTGAAGCTGACATTGATCAAAAAGCAGCCAGCACAGGGCAGAATATCACCTCGTTCCAGGCACTACCCTACTGCTTTCAGAGTCTCATCTTGTGAAACAGTCCTACGTGAACAGGGCTCGGAAAACGCTAGGACTGCACTTCAGGCAATTCAGTGCTACCTGCATCCAGACAAGAAAGCTACATCCAATATAAAAACAGTAAAAAAAAATAAAAAATAAATCTGGCTGTAGGGAGGGTGATTTTTAATTAAAACATTCTAAACAGTACAGCATAAAACACACATAATGTACTCGCTTAGCACGCCGTTTGCAGGCAGTATACCATTTGTTTTTCTTAAGGGATTTTTTTTAAAAAAGGTTTGTTTTCAATACATTAGCTTACCAAAATTGTATGCACAGAAGGAATTAAAATAGGGCTAGATATTAAATGAACACTACCTGTTCCAGAATGTTTGAAGTTGATTCAAACTAACAATATCCTTTGGCAGATCAACATGATCCAAACGTTTAACAAAAACACTTTGCAACCGAGCTGTAATACCATACGGTGTTCAGTAACCAGCTGATGACAGAGGAGCTGTTTTTTCCTCATTCCAACTTGAAGAGCTAATTATCCAGGGCTGGAGGCCAGTCAACATCAACAGACTAGAAGAGCAGGAAAAGAAAAAAGTTACAAATCAGCAGACCATGTTTTCTGTATTCAGAAAGACTTGCCATCACTGTGCTTGTCTGGTCTGGGTTAACAGTGGGAAGAGACAATACATAGAGAGAGACATTATGGGAGAAGACAAGAGGGAGAGTGGCGTGAAACAGCCACCTCGTTCTTTTGGCTCCATGAGTATCAACTGGAGCTGGGTTTTCTTCATAAAAAGCAGAATTTCAATTCTTTTTACGATTACTAGCCAGAATCAGTTGATGTAGGCCTGTATTTGTAGAGTATCCAAAGCTGCTACTTAGAAACGTGAGCTATCTCCTTTTATCTTCTAACCTGAGCTGAATATCCTATAGGTGGGGTGTTATGATGTGAAAACCCCTGTTGATTGATGCCACAGAAATATTCAGGTATTGGGCAGTGCAGGCAAGACTTGAGTAGAAAGCCATCAGCTGTCCCCAGATCTGCCTCCTCAGCAAGGAAAACTACGCTAAAAGAATAAGCAGGCGAGCATTATGCAGAAGAATTATCGAGGCAACATCATTAAGAGTTATTCTGACTGTTAGTCAAAAGGGACAGAACATGCCTGACACTTTATTAGAAGCAACTGTAATAATTACTACGACTGGATTATGTCTTTCTTCCCTGCTCTCCCTGAGGCCACATCTCCAATTTCCTTTGGGCATAAACTTGTTGTTCACCCTCTTCCAAATGTTGTGCTGTTGCGATCACGACGCAGGAATCACAACGCAGTACATTAAAAGCCTTGGCTCCAAGACTGCCTACATTAATCACACCTATTCCTTGCCTAATCTACAACTTCATCAAAGGATTAGGCTCTTAGGCTAAGCTAAATTGCATTACTAGCACGATGACTAATTATTTTAGAATCCCTAGACATCCTTCATAGTTGCATCCAATAAAAGTAGTGACACCTATCCGTGCAAGAGTGATCCTGATCAGCCTACACCAGGTTCAAATGCTCCTGTTTTCAGTGCCCCCTGCAAGCTCTCTTTCTGTATTATCCCACCACAGGTACACAAAAAACTGCATGTCTGCTGCGCAAAATTTAACCCATAGGCAGTCTTCCAGAAACACATGACAACAAGCATGCTGGTAACTGGCTACTCAATGTGAAAATTCACGTTTTAAATAGACCTTGCCAAACCACCAGGTTTAATATTCAATTCAAATCTCCACATACATTCTTTTAGCCAAAACAAATTTTGTAGTTACAAGTCAGTATCTACATCATCTGACTCCAGCAAGTGAATAAAGATAATTAGTTTGAACCAGTGTTGAAAGAGGAAGTCAAGTCACTCCTATTTTTTCTCCGCCCCCCTTTTCAAAAGAAATGATGTAAACAGAACAGAAAAAGAAAAGGCTCTATTACAATGGGTCCTAATAATAGGTGTCATCAATTCCTGCTCTGTCCTCCCATCCCTCGCCCAACACGAACTCAGCAGAGGAAGCCTGTCGCATGACACAAGCATGTGGCAGTGTGGTACAAACCATCATCTTTGCATAAACGTCAACTTTCCTATTAACTGAGGTAAGAAATGTTGATTTGGTTAGAGCGATTCCATTGAAAGCATCTCACAAATGCAACTACATTACTAATTGCCAGGACAGATAAATAACGAAGAACTCACTTCTACATCCAACTCCAGAATGTCAGCGGTTCTGTTCAGTAGGGAACCAATATTTGGTTTTGTTCTTCCAAAGTCTCCGTGCACAAATTCTTTAATGTAGCTAAAAAGGGTGGCTAAGGAAAGGTGCACTGTGCCATAAAGGCCTCCAAAGGTGGAGGGGGAAAAACGGAAAAAAATAGTGTGATGAAAAAACATACTCAAAGCAAAAATAGTGTATTTTTCTACTGCTAATCTAAATTTAAGTGAACATCCTGTTACGACTATCCTTAACATCGTGTTAAGCTCATATCCATAAAGACTAATAATTCTTGGCTTTTTATACATTTTATAGCTGTCAGATACTTTTCCATCTATCAGATTGCTCACCGCCAAAATACGCACAAAGTGGTAGCATTTTTGAATGAAAGCCCACGTGAAATTCTGACATAAAAGCAAACATCAGCAAGATCTGACTGCTGAAGAACCGAGATTTAGAAACACTGCAGAGATAAAAGCAGGAAACTTCCCATTGCCTGAATTGCTCTCATCAACAAGGTGTTTCGTAAATGCATTGTGTAACAGCAGCTAAGGATACGTTCCTGCTTGAGTCTTCAGATGCAGGCGAAAGTGATGCTCATCTATGTACTCAGACTTCATGGTGTGAATGATCCGACATCGTACGGCCAGAGGCCTTCTGTGAAGAACCCGGAGAGGTGTCTTCTGGTCAAGTTTTAATTCCTATTACAAGAGGGAACAAAATAAACGAGGAAGGAAATATGCAACACACTGCACAGATTGAGATGAAATCAAATGTACCATTAGCCAATCGCATCTTTCTTTTTTCTATTGTGTTATGGGAGTTGAGTAATCTTCTGGAGGAAAGACTAATTTTTTTCGTGTTTATGGAAAGAAAAAAGGACAGCCATCTCAGAGGCTACACGAGAAGGCCTCATATGAACACAAACTAATGGAATCACATATACAGAGGAATAACCTTGAAATCTCCACGGTCGTTTGCTGGAATAACTCCAGGATTTGAAACCTCACTGAGAGCCTCAGGCAATCAAAAATAAAATAAAAATCCCATCCACAAAATGCTTTGTCTAAACTACAGCCAACCCTCTAGAAATAATAGTGGGGGGGGGGGGGGAAGTTCTCAGAAAAGACGTTTAAGAAGCTCATTCCCTACCCTCATCCCCTTCCCCAGATAAGATGCCGTACTTTGAAAGGCAACCTTTCAGGAAGTGGGTAGGCATACTTAAAAAAAAGAAAACAACAAAACCAGTTCACAACAATTGTTTCCCTTAACTGTATTGGTTCCAGCTTCAATTTGAGAATGATTTCATGGCCAAGACCCATAGACAACAGTGCAACACAACAAAAACTGAAGACATTCCCCCACCAGCGTTGTCCCTCTGACTAGCTTTTGGAGGAAGTTCTCGTTAACACAGCATGCTTGCTACACTGAGCACTTGGTTAGCCCTTTTTGCACTATTTTCCATAGACCTTACAAACTTCTAATTGCTGCAGCTGTGGAAGAATGGCTTTAGAGCTTGCAGAAGAAGCAATCACCATTCCTTTCACTTAAACAAAACAATCTAAGGTAAAGAAAGAGGCGTTGGTGCCAGATTTCCCCCTCCCATTCCCTGCTGTTTATTATTTGGTCTGCTATTACACAATAACTTGTAACAGGCTATCTAACAGTGAGAAGGGGGAAAGGGAAAGGAGATATGAAAGTCATATAGCAAAAGGAACCCCGATCAAACAAACCAACCAACCACAGGAAGGAGGTATGACCATGGGTGCAATCTCCCCTAAGACACCAGGACAGGTACTACATAAATTAACAAAAAAAAAAAAAAAAAAAAAAAAAAAAAAAAAGATCTATAGATACCTTGATATCATCTAGAAATGCAATATCTTCTTTCTGTATTGCTTTGTCTGTCCATACTAAGGCACTATAGGTCTTTGTTTTTTCCTCTTCACCTTCCTTCATACGACCAATTGCCTCTCTAAATAAAAGAAATTAATTACTCATGTAACATAAGCATAATTATATAATGCTGTGAGCAAGAATGCTTGCAAAACTCCCAAAGCGTCACTTTGAAATCCCTTGCCAGCAATGATAAACACTGACCTGGTGACAAGCTGTAAATCTCGAACCCGTATTTTGTCTGACGAGTTATTAATTGTCTGTGATATTTAAAAAAAGAATCAGTTAGTAAAACTGCTCTCTTAGAGAAGAAACACATGCTTTATGAGTTCCGGGAGGTGCAAATGATTTACCTGCTGAAGTTCCTTCATTTCCTCAGCAGTAAAATGTATTCTACGAGGATTCACAAGCTCAATGGCGAAGGGCCTTCCTGGCAACATGCACAGTCATAAAACATAAAAACATGTTGTTCTAAATTAACGTTTGAATTTATGCAGTAAGGTTGGAAGGTGTGAAGGCTGTCTGCTGTTATGCAAACAGGGATAGGAACTTGCAGGCTTAGGGATGTAACATCAGATGGAAGGAAAGAAACAAGGGACTTTTTTGGCTACTAAACCCCAGTATCAGCAATAAGTGCAAATTACGACTTCCCAGAAGACATCTTGTACAAGTCTGTGCTAATTAAAAAATAAAATAAGAAAAAAAGTTAATTAGCTTATTTTCTGTCACCTACAGCAATGCCCAGGTGCAGGATGATGTTAAATCCCGCTCCCTCAGCTAAACATCTGTTGCAATAGCTGCGCTTTCTGTGCTGAGGGCCAGGGATGCTCCCCAGTAAAAGCAATGCCAAGAACGACACTCCCAGTCAGACAGGAACTGGAATGTATCATTGTTAGTTTTCACTTTTTCTTCCCTCCTGCTCCTTTGGATATAGTAGATTCAGAGTATTTTCCAATACTGACCTTTAGAAAGGAGCCAAGTTCAAAAAGAAAACAAGGCTTCCCCACTCCCCAGTAACAGGCAAAGCACAAGGACCCAACAGAAAACAGGACAGGAATCTGTCTGGCATAAAGGTTTTAAAAATAGGAAGTGAATAAAACAAAATATTCTTAACAAGCTCTGCTTTTCCATGCAGCTATGCAGCCAGGGACACAGAAAAAGGTCTCCTCTTTCAGTTCTTTTTATGAAGCTATGAAGTCTTTGGGAAGAAATACATAAATATCACTAAAATGTTTCCACCATAAAACTTCAAAGCATGCCCAGTCACACACTTATGCACTTAGCAGTCAGCAAGACCTATCAGGGTAGCACCATTTTGTCTGTTTCTGTGCTTCACAAGAGATGTTCCAAGCCTTACCATTGCCTAGTGTTCGTACATCCACATCTTCTCTTCCAGAGGAGGAAAAATTAAAGCCTATAACGGATTTGAACAAGGGAGATGAGATTTTACTTTACATTTTTAATACTCTCCACAGCTTTTAAAAGGTGAGATATTCTAAATTTGTTTGCAAATATACTTCAAATAGTTATCTTTATAAAATGAAGCCTGCACTGTATTTGACCAAATCAAGAGGGAAACAGTTTCTGTTTATTCCTTCATGCTCACTAATTTCTTGAAAAGCACTCCTAATTTTTTGGCCAATCAATGTGAGCTGTCTTCCTCCAAAACAGAACTTAAATATACCCAATGGTTTCCAAAGATTTCAGAGAAGTTTCTCCTAGTCTGCTCTCCTGGGCAGAAGAGGAAGAAAATTCAGGTCCAATCTGAAAGATAACCACTTTTTTTTTGTTTGGTTGGTTGGTTGGTTTTGTTTTTGTCTTTCAAGCTACAAACATGTATTGTTGGATAATTTAGTTTCCTGTATCATACCCCTTCTATCTTCAAGCTTTGCCTGAAGATGGACTGGGAGACCAAACCTTGCACTAAATAGTAACTTTGCAGCTCCACTATAAAGGGTCTCTGAAAAACTGTTTCACTTTTATTTTTTTTTCCTCTATTGGGAACAAACAAGAGCACAAAGATTTTCTTAGTTTTTATTATCCCTCACTTCTCCAGTCATGTAATGACAACTAAATAACAGCAAGAAAATGTTTCCATGGTCATGAAGGCTTTTTTCTGTCACAACATCAGAATTTTCTGAGTTGGACTCTCCTTGGACAAAACATGCTCTGGATCTTTTATCAACTTCACAGCCCTTTTCTGGACTCAGTGTAGCATGTCCGTGTCTTTCTTGCACAGGAGCCCCAAATTGGGCCCAGGACAGTGTCACACCACTGCTGAGAAAAGGCAGAAGATCACCTCCCTTGACCTGCTGACAACAGTCTTCCTGTACGTTTATATTGCTCCTCACTGTTATTTATAGGCATTTCTGGTGGTCACCTGTGGTAATTCTGCAAGCTAAAGTCAGGTGTTACATGCTAATTGGTCTGAAGAATTAGTCTGAGAATTTTTTCTAGTGTTCAGATGAGCATAGCAACTCTTGGGAGGGAGGAAAGAAGGGGAAAGAAACTCTTTTTTTCTAAACTAATATGTAATGCAATTTTTCCTTGGGCGTTCTATGTCTCCAAGTCTAGCAGGCGACAAATGACAGGCAATGATTATTTCATCTGGATAATCCCTGGATAAGCATTTATCTTATGGAACTCTATGCACTGAAGAAAATAAATTAATCAAGGTAAGAAACATGAAGGGGTTGAAGGCTAGGCAGATATTATGGAATGCCCATGGCAAAAACCTCCTCATTAGGAGTCACTGAATGAATTACCAACTGTTACGAGACAAAAATACTACCACATAAAAGCAGACTTTTTGCATCATCAGATCAGCTGAGGAGGTATTTTAGAAGGATAAAAGATACTGTATGAAATACAATCATCTAGTTACTCATAGGCCATAGCTAAAAAAGAGCTTATGGGCTTTGGCTCGGAAGGGTAGGAGAGGGATAAAGAAACGGAGTGTTTTCCATTATACTCTTGTATTAAGTGAGTAGCTACTAAGAAAAAATATTCTAGAAACAATGAGAATTATATATGGTAAAAGATCTCCTAGACACTTACTGTCTGCTTTGAATTCTGCCATTAGATGCTCCGAAATCAGTTCTTCCACTGAAGACTCCAGCTTTCGCTCCCCATCAATAATCCAGGGAGTCTGAGGTAAATTCCTTGAATATTTATTGTACCTTCCTGGACAAACAAGCATGTTACCTGTAAGCGTTCTTAAGTAATGGACAAAAGAACCAGTATCCCATATTAAAATGCATTTAACTTCAATTGGAGCCTCATGAAAATAGTTTTAGACACTTAACCTTGTTTTACAGCAAGAGCACTGCAGCAACAAATTCATGCTCCTGGACCTACAAGTGTTTCAGCACCCAAGATGACCAGCTTAAAGGCACATGTGGAGAACCTATTGCTGCAGTCAAACCCTCAGGTATGAGAAGCATATGAACAAAACTGTACAAAGACTAACACAACTGAGAAGGAAAAAACTGAGATCCAAGTACCCAGTCTGAGGCAACTTAGTTCTGAATAATTATTCTTTGAATCAGAGCACGGTATTGAGCTAATTTCCTCCAAGCCGAACTAGTGTTTTTTATAAAAATAAATACATAAATGAAATCAGTATTATATATTGAGGTATAGCTTGATACACCCTCACTAGATAAACAGGATATACATATATACACAAATATCTATATATGTGCTTGTTCACCAATCTATGTATGTCCTAAGTAAACAAGTTCCCCCACATCCTTCTGTCAAATAGTTCAGGTTTCAATCCAAGTTCTGCCTTGTCTGAATGTTTAACAGAAGAAACCCAAACTAAAATGCTTTGGCTTGTTACAAGGAAAACCATGCTAGCAAAATACCTCGATAATAAACCAGTGCAAATTTCAAGAACCTTGGAACATTGCTATGCAAACAGATTGCCATCCTCTGACTGATTCCAGTCCTACTCTGGTATTATGTCATGCTTGCACGCGACGCAAGGGCTGCTACAACCAAGAACGAGCCTGACACAGACGACCAAGATGAGCTTTCTTGCTGACAGGTTTTATAAGTGAAAATATGCACAAAACAGGGAGCTCATTCAAAAAGAACGAGCAACCCCCCTGCACTAACGCATTCCAAACTGAAACCCTGCATTTATGAAACAAAAAAAGGAGTTCAAAGTAGCTGTGCATATGGTACCTGTGTCTTTGTCATCTCCATTTTTTTTGGCTTTCAGTATCATACTTTCCTATTTCTAACAACACTTCCTTCCTGCATTTTGATCTGCAGAAAAACCCACACAAACAAATGGGGAAACTGACTAATACTGTTTCGATGGGGCAAATAATGAAAGTACTATGAATAACCATTCAGAAGTCAGCTTCACATTGCTAAATTCTCTCTCCATAAAATGGAAATAGGAAAATAACACATTTTTTTTCTTTCAACTCCCCATTCTAATAATTTTAGCTTTTGATCTGAGCCAGAGTGGGTAAAAAAACACAGGTATTTCTCAATTTGACAGCTTCTCCTGAACACTTAAAAAAAAAAAAAAAAAGAAAAAGTAGCAGAGGGAAGGGATCAGTAAACACCGAAGGTAAGGTCAAGAGGGTGACACAAACTCTGAAATTGTGCTTACAAATTAAGACCCAAATCTCAATTAAACTGCTGTAATAGCAAAAACAAAACAAACAAACAAACAAAAAACTGCACTGTATTCAAGAAATTCTTCTGGATTTTCTTTATAAATTAGAGATAACATAGGGTTGTGGTTTTTTTGTTTGTTTGGAATACCACCACTACCCCAAAAAAAAACACAAAACAAACAAACAAAAAACCATCCCAATCTGTAAGTTACAAAACACAAAAACAAAATTCAATTCAATCACATGCAGAAAACTGACTATGTCTTTCTACATACATGACAAAACCACCCAACAAAACAGGGTGTTTGGAAAAGGCTAAAAGAAATCAGGTATCTTGGTTTCATGAAAATGTATATTTAACTGTCTAATTGGTCATTAAAAATAAGAAACAGGTATATAGAGAACACCAACTAGCCTGCCATGAGAATATTCAATTTCACATTTTTTTCTTTTCATTTGAAGTTTTCCTTTACTCAGGATTTTTACCCCCCTTTTAAACATAGCATATAGGCTTATAATTGTATTTTTAAACAGTCTGTGTATAATTAAGTATGTGGTTGTTTATACACAGGCCTGGGGAAGGTTAGATACACTTGTAGGCAACGACAGAAAAGTCTGTAGAATCATCTCAAGGCAGGGACATCAAATGTTGTTGCACTACCTGTCTTACCCAATTATTCCAGATGTTACCTTGGGTTGGAGGGGGCTAAGATTTCCAAAATTTCACTTTTAATTAATTTCATGAAGATCAACAGTTTTGGCTGAAGTAATACGCAGATAAATCCAGATGGTGAACACTGCTAAATCCAACTCAAAATCCCAGCAAAGGAACAGCACAGCACTGCTGACAGCTTATCTAGTGAGGAAATGCCTTTCCCAAACCATGCACTCATCGTGAGGGGCTGTACTGCAACTGCAGCATTTGCAGGGATAAGGGTTATCCCAAGGAGACAGGAAGCAAGACCAATATAATTTCTTCCCCTTTCCAAGTCCACCCTTAGATAGAGCTAGATTTAATTCTTTGCTCCTTATAAGTAATTACAGGAGTCAGCAGATAGCAAGAGTCTCCTGGCTCTTGTGGCAGCATTACAAAGTTACGCTTAAGACAACAGAGCAGCAAATAAATGGATCACTTTACCAGCCACAAAAACTGCACCATTATTGCACTGAATTTCCAGTGCAACGCAGAGGTTCTTTGGTGAACACGGGGGACACGGAAAATGCCTGTAAAAGAAAGATTGAGAAAAACTAGTAATACCAGAACATAACAGAGCATCAGCCTGGTAATAATGGCATGGAAAACAATGGCTTCAGGTACTAAAAACACAGCTACAGTATCAATTCAGTATTCACATTAATAGCTGGAACAGCAAGAGATGAATAAAGAAAAGAGCTGTGAAGATTTAGTGCATTTAAACATTGTGAACTACTGAGAAAATGTTTACTGATGTCTTCCTACTGCTTGTGTTTTTACTGCTTGCTTGTTCTTCTATTTTAACCATATTACACTGTCTGGTGTTTTCTTAAAGCTCAACCCACCCCTACCATTTTGGAAATATGGGAAAAATGTCGTTCTTGTAAAGAGAAGTTTGCCTTACAGACTCAGGTTCATAATACAGGTGGAAGTTCCATGATTTCTCAATCTCTCCTGTGGTTTTGAGGATGCACATGAAGATTTGTTTCAATGTGTGAGATTGGCAATACTGCAATAAGCTGCTTTCACTTCCAACCATTCTAAACCCCATGCCAGCCCAGAGACTTGCAGTGACGCACTGCCGGCAGCACCGAGCAGAACTGCAACTCCCTGACCTACAGCTGCTCTTCTGTGGTGCTCCTGGGATACTAAAACAATGAAGCAATATTACTGATGGGAAGAAGACCATCGTTTGCATCGTTTGTCCAGTTTTCCATCTCCTGCGGCTTAATTCAAGCATTTAAACATTGCTTTAACTAAAAAATCAAGAATTATATTTTATCATCAGAAAATGCAACACATTTCAAATAATAAACTAACGGAATTTAAACAATTAGTTCTTTTATAGTCATCTTACTACCATTTACCCACCTAATATTTTCCTCCCCATCCTAATTCTATACAAAAGAACAATACTAAGAACTAGTTTCAGTATACACTTACTTGAGAAAATCCTCTTCTTTTATCTTCTCTAAGGCTTTCATAACTGCCATTCTAGTGAAAACAGACTGCACAGTGAAATAAAAAATGAGTCAAGAAGAGAAGTTAAGAAAGGATATGCCTAAAAAAGAAAGAAACCCTAAAACATACACACGAGACACTTCTCACAATACATTTTTTTCACTTATGTTTTATGTTTTCTTATACCTACAAACTCTGTATCAGCGAGAGCTCCCTGTGACCTTAAACCTTAACAGGGCAACAAAGAGCAACAAGTAATTTTGCCTAAATATATCCAAATAGCTTTACTCACAACATGAAAACAATATAATTAGTGCAGCTTACAGATCAGAACATAATGATTATTGTTGTACACTTATATGCTCGGGGTTTTGTGGAGTTGGGTCTTGAAATCCCCTGGGGATGGAGCCTGCAAACCCTCCCTGGAGGTAGCCTGCTCCACTGTCTGACTGTCCTCGTGGTGTAGTTTTTTTCTTGCATCTACTTTGAACCTCTCATTTCACCTTATAGCCACTGTTTCTCCATCTTCTACCATGTACTGTGCTGCTTCCCAACCTGGCAGTCCCCAGTCCGTATTGCTGACAGAGTTTAATCCTTCCCAGGTGTCAGACTGTGTGTTTGATGCTGCCAAATTTCATACAGCTTGCATCAGCCCGTTCCTTCAGCCTGCCTACAGCTGCGCCCTCAGGTGTATCTAACAGTCCTTCCAATTTATTGTCATCAGCAAACTCGATGAGAATAGACTCTACAGTCTCCTCCAGGTTTTTATAAAGATGCTCAAAAGGAGGGATCCCAGGACAAACTCCTGCAGTACTCCACTATCGCAGGCATCCAGATAGAGTATGACACCCAGTAACCACTACCCTTTAAGCCCACTCACGTGGATTATTACCCATCTAGCTGTCCACCCATCCAGACCGTTAAGTCTAAACGCTTCAGGAAGAGCACTGGTACATGGAAAGGAACTAAAAAGTCATGTTTTCATTCAGCTTCAGGACTTGGAAAAACAGTGAAAAATACTGAATTGCTGTTTGGGGTGATTCAAGTCCTTGCTCTGATGATCCAGGACATCCTGGATGCCTTCAGGAAAGTTGCTGCTTCTCTACCTAAGCATAAACTAGAGATAAAGTACAGATAAAAGTACCTTCCTTCCTCATAGGACAGCTGAGCTGGAAAACCTTTAAAGTAACAGTATGTTTAAATTGTCATCTACAGCAGATGACAATTTTTTACTCAGGATCCAGCTTTTATACCATTTCTGATTAACACAGCCCTTGACGCTAGCTTCAAGCACAGCCTCTTTGTAAGGATGAGCCTCTGATGGCTCTTCAGAGGCTGTACTTCTTCCTTTAGATTCCCCTACATCTTGTTGCCTGCATGGGTTCAACAGCTAGGCCCTGCTGGTTTAGCTCCTTACGGGGGGTTTCCCCCTTTTAAAGGAAAGCCATGCAGCAAGCAGTGAGTTATGACAATACAATACTTCTAAAAAAAGACTTGTGTGTATTCCATGTCAGGTGGAGTACAGCAGGCAGAATTCCAGGGTCAGACTGCTTCCACCAAAAGTCGGCAGACTGTTCACCAGAAAGAACAAAAGGCCTCTCATAGGCTGCTGACAGAAGTTACCTGTTCTCCCTCGCATCACACCCACCATCCTACTCCTATCAGCTTATCTCCAACTGCTTTTTATTCTTACACCCCCTCTTTTCTCTCAACGATTGTGTGTGCTCAGGGTATGCAACGAGTGGCAAGGTCCCTTTTCTTTCTTCCCCTGCTCCAGAAGTAGACAGGATAAAACCACCCTGGATGTACCGTGTCTTTCATTCAGATCAGAGGACGTGAAAACTCTGGTGTGATCATTCTCTTTCAGCTGCGGAGTCTCCTCTTCACAATGTGACTTATCTGAACTGAGAGCTTGAGGACCGTATTTTATGCTACTTTTAATGCATGAGAATCAAATTCTTACATCTGAAGGGATGTATTTACAGAGAACAGTCCTAAAAGTATTCCTTTGGACAATCTGGAAAATTAATGAGCTAAAGAAAAGCAACAAGGTCGTAGTTCTCCTAAGAAAAGAAATGTTAAGCGAATAAAAGGAGATGACTTTATTTTCAGACAACGGAAAATTCTGGGACGTTTCTGATGAAGGAAGAACAGACATTAAACAGACTAAATACCCAGGTAAGTTCTTCACTGTAGTTACAGCTGTGAAAGTTTGAATGTCAGAAAGAAAATACAACAATGATGAGATCCTACCTGTTTGTTTTTTGCTGGCTTGAAACAATCCGGACAGGCTGTGGCTCTGAATAGAGAGATGAAAATTAGCTGCTACTCTTACAGAAAAAGCAAAAAACAAACAAAACAAAAAATCAGGGACAGACAAGCATAGCATGTAAATGGTCTTTGTATCCCAGTATGCCCAGCATCTCACTTCCACAGTTTAGCACAGACCAGATTTTTAAATCAATTCTATCCTAAGCCACAAATGGTGGAAAGTGTGCATTGCCTGACCTAGAGATAAATCACAAAGCTGTGTAAGCCTGTCTTGCTCTGACCAACACTAATGTTCCTCAGTTTTGAGATGGGATGGAAAAGCACACGAGAAGTTTATCTTTCAGTCCTTTTCAACCCTTCTCAATAAATGTTATGATCAATTTTGAAGTTCTGCTCAAGGTATGCTGACATCTTGAAATCTGTATTTCCTGCTCTTAGACAATGTACACGGCAAAATTAAACATATCCAAGCCAGAGACACAAATTGCTGCTTCTGGATAGGAAAATTCAGCTTACTACAGAAAAAAGTAACCCCAGGTATTTGATACTATTTGTGTTTTGCCCCTTCAAAAGGAAACTATTGGTTGCTTCACAAAAGTGAAAGCAGAGTCAGTGAAACATTTTTTCTGAGTACTGTAAAGGAAATTATTGTTCCTATTAGTGGATTTCTGTGTATGCAGTAAGAGATGGTTTCTAGCCTCCAACACAGTTTATCAATTCTTGCCGGTGCTTTTCAACACTTTTATAACTAATGTAGACTATAAAGAAGTAGGTCTGACCTCTTGCAGTTTCTGTACAGACAGCCTTCCTGGTCAGTTGTGACACAAAGCATCACAAATCCCCTCTTTCAGAATTTAAATATAAATCTCCAAATATAAACTAACAAGAGCCAATTTGACCTTCCACATCAAACCAAGAGTCATTTTGGCACACATACCTACACACGATTCTGTAAAAACAGCTCACAAGAGGAGAAATTGCAGATGTCATACTTGGAAATCCCTTCCAAAAGCATACTTGGAGCTGGGAGAACTTCTCCAGGCTGAGTCAAGGTCTTAATTTTGCTTCCATACAACTGTCATTACTAAAGCTCTGACAATTACCAAATTTCTCTGTTTACACTGAAATTAAAACATTGCCCCAGACATGTCCAGAGCCGACCTTCCACGTATGGAGAATGTCCTGACACCTGAGAAGCTACCACAAAATTAAGTTAGGGACTGTGTTGTTACTTCAGAAGAACATCCAAAATCTCAATGGCTGTTTAAGTATGCCCCAAAGAGAAGGCAAATAAAGGGATATTGTCAAGACACATGGAATAGACCTGAGTAGCTGGAATGTGGAACATAAATTCTTTACAATTTTCCCTTCTACAGCTATTCCTCTCGGAGCACCAACACTGGCATCACAACATGCTCAGCATCAACATTTTGGGAAGGTCATAAAAAAAGTACTGGGAAGATGAGATGAAAATAAGAGCTGCCATGTTTCAGAGGAAGGAAGAGCACTACAGGACATGAGAACTGATCAAGTAAAATTAAGTAAATAAGAACACAGGTATGCTGGGAACTTTTGAGTTTTTGTAGGAATGTGGGTAAAAATGTAGTTTGGCTCTAATACTTTTACATTTGCCCGGTCTTTAAGATGCTGGAAAGGAAAGAAATTCAGTTCCTAATACTAGGTCTGCCACTGAGTATGCAGTTGTGGAAAACTAAGAAGGTGACAGATGGGGCACTCACAAATTGCCAGAAGAGGTACAACGAGGGAAATCATTAAGGGCTGCAAAGGAAATATCTCATCTCCAGGGATGAAGTCACTACACGACGCAGAAACCAGAAGCTCTATGAGGAGCCTCTGTCTCTGTTAGGATTTAACTTGTCGTAGGAGCACAAGTGATGACACTGAGTGAAACTCAACTTTTCCAGGAAGCATCAGCAAACAGGAAGAGCAAACCTAATTATCCAGAATATACTACTGCCAGATTTTCAGAAATCAGATTCAACGGTAGCTAAATTCACAGAAATATTTTGCTTCTTTGTGTTAAAGAAGGATTTATACAGCAAATGCTCTGTTGGGCCAGGACAAAGATTGTATGTGGTGGCCAGGGAACTTCTGTTTGTTTTAATCAAGCAGCTAATTTGGACGAACCCACTTCTAAACCTTCCCTCCTCCCATCCATGAGCAGGATGAGAACAGGAAAACCTAGACATGACCTCAAAAAGATTCCCCCACCCTCAACTATGTGTTTTGAGTTTATTTTTTTGAAATGATACAGCCATGTTGAGGAGGGTGAAGAGTTTGAAAAGGGCTGAAATTCTACAACTTTTTCCAAATGTTATCCTTCCAGTCCAAATCAAAATTCTGGATGATTTTGTTTATTGGCTTTAAAGCACAGAATTAACCAGACAGAGGTGGCATAACTTTAAGCTTTGTAGCTCTATCTGAATATGAGGGAGTTTAAATGCAGGGCCCATTCGAGTTTATAAACACTGCATATTCTCATCTGTAGCAAATCCAAACCAACAAAGTTGCACAATATTTAGATAAAGATCTTTTGTTATTTATATCAAAACTTACAGGAAACGGCACTCCTCATCTGTTTCTGGGTGAGCAAAGACCACGCTAACTTCAAACAAACTCTAAATTAAAAAAAAAAAAAAAAGGTGGGGGTGGTAATACTTTGTTAAACAAACCAGGAGGATATTCTCAAGCATACTTATTGTAATACTAGGAAAACAGTAAAGAGGTAGGCAAAAGAAAAAGTAATCCACTTATTCTACAACACAGTTTAAAGAAAGACACTAAAACTTGTGCCATAATGGCATTTGCATTTCTGAAGTACCCAAAAATGATCTCAGAGCACTTCAATAACATGAGTGACCTACACATCATAGATACTGGCCCCATTTTGCACAGGGGGAATTGAGTCAGAGACAGTATATGCTCAAAGCCTATTACGGTCACTAAACTTAACACACCTTCTGGGAGAGCAGTGCCTAGCGTGGAATAAAGATAAAAACCCTGTAGTAGTCACCACTGAAGAATTTTGTCAGGGGCTTCGTTTGCAATGACTGGATGGCCTTGGGGCAAAGAAAGGCAACATGTCCTAGTGGATTGACAGCTAGACTAGAAACTCCAGTGTAATCTCAATTCTACCCCCAATTCCCTCTTTGGCCTTGGGCAAACAACACTCATTACTTCTGTTATTCAGATACCAGTATACCTCAAGAGGGCTATTGAAAAGATTGGCTAATATTCAAGTGGCTTGTAGATAAAGGGTACTACACAAGTAACTTTTATGGTACAATGGTGTCTGAAGTGGCTCAGTGCCTAAGTGTTGTAAAGCTTTTGCTAACTCAGTATGTAAGAAGTTTGTTTCTTCTTGGATCATCTTCAGGGTGACTGAGTGATTCTCTCTTCACTAAGACAAAAGGGATGCTTTCAATTAGCACTCCTGGGAAAAGACAATCTGTAATTACTACGGAAGTTGACAAATCAACTTAACGACTGAGACTAGTCCTGGGGTCAGTCCTGCGGCTGATGACAAGCAAAAACTACAGACTGCTTTGTCTTCAGCAGGATTTTTAGACATGTTTGCAGAGATTTTACAGTCAAGATGATGGTGTTTCTGAATTTTCCTGACAACTTCCAAATGTCACATGTGGTCAATGTTTTTCAGAAACGTTTTAGGGATGTTAGTCAGAACCTGAAAGTTGAAAATACAGTTTGAGAAAACATTCCTATTGCCTGTTTACTAGTACTGCAGGTTCCAACATGCCTATCTCTAGCAGTCATTAAAGTCAACAAGGACCAGTCTTCCCTCCTTTAGCATGTTTCAGAAATATATTCCACAGTATTTAACACGCAAGTAACCTGAAAAATTTATCTCACAAAGCGGTAAAAGTGTTGGCAGTAACAGGAGAGCAAAGAAGGAATATATAAGCATTGCTTGGTCTCCAAAAAACAAAGATCCTGGAAAAGTCTCATTTGTAAAAGGAGGGTGGCAGCCCAAGAGCAAGAGATCTAGCAGAAGACTGCAGTGGTCCCAGTATACTCAATGATCTCTGTGTATAAAAATGGAAGTTGAACCCTTTGGCGTTGAGACTTGGGGATCTCATGTTAAAAGAACTCCCCCGCTCTCCTTCCCCCCTACAGTGAATATAAAAGCAGTGCAACTTGTTTATCTGTTAATGATAAAAATTGTATACATATATATATTTCTACCTATCTATACACGTACAAACACACACAAAAGAAAGTGCTTTTTTATTTATACAATACCTTTCCATCAGCGGGAACACCCAACTCCTCCGACAACTGGGGATGAATAATCCACTTGTAAGCTTCTTTCAGTTGAACGATGTCATCCTTTGCCAAGGAAAGGCCCAGTTTTCTGAATCACATACATAAAGAAATAATAACTCGCACAGGAGTCTGTCAAAGATAGATACATGACATATGATATTTCTAGACAGAATTAAGTAGCTTGTCCAAGGTAAACAAGCAGTGTACAAATGAAATGGACTAACACACTAAGCGTACAGATCACAGCATGAAAGAATGAAAGGCTGCTCCAATACCTCCTGTAACAGCAGTGAAGCTTTGTACTGAATTAATAAAAAAGGCGTTGAGGAAACATTAAGGCCAAACAGGGATTCCAGGTAAGATGCTTCACAGTAAGCACATACACACATGTGGATGCTACACAGCATGATAAATCATACCATGCCATTTAAAGCAAACCCCAATTCTCAAAAATCACTTTTTGTTTCTTTTTTTCCAACCAGATCAGTGAGACCATCAGCTCTCCAGGTGGTCACATAAGCACTTACGTTAACACAAGAAAGACAGAAGGTACATGCAGATGGAGCCAGGATACTTCTGATAGTAAATCAACATCTAGTTCAGCTTAAGTAAACTGAGTATCCGGATCCTGCAGGGCAGCACCTGTGCTATTTGCTAAGGAGTCTCTTGTCCAGGTTCCAGCCAAAGTGATGTCTTGCTTTGCCCTGTTTCTATTTGCCAGTGTTTCTTTCATTAACAATTTAAAAACAGATTATGTTTCTTCCTGTCTGAGAGAACATGCACTGAGGAAACTCATGCCAGAGTTTCATGGTAGATCAACAGTTGCAAAAGCCTTTCTAGAGTCTACACAAAGAAAAGCTTAGGAAGAGATGTAAAAAAAAAATAATTCTTCGTTGTAAACAAACAAAAAACCACCTTCTGTAAGGCTTATTTTTTATTGTTAAAAGGACGAATCAGTCCTTCATTAAAGGAGGGCACGAACTCCAGTGGACACAAATTCCTAAGGGGAAAATTCCAGGTGAAAACCTCAGCTGAACTTGCTGGGATCTGACTCTGTAGGTACAAAACTAGGCCTTTACCACTCCATCTTCACCCATGCAGAGGGAAGTTAAAAGAAGCAGATGCCTGTAAGAATGCCAGCATGTGATTTCAAACCCCTTGCTTATGACCTGCCAAAGCAAAGCACGTGTCCTCATATACAAATGGCACCAATGGCTACTCAGGCAAGATGTGCCCTCTACAAGCTAATCGCCTCTCAAGCAATTTAATGAAACAATGACTTTTAAATTAGTCTCAAAGTAGGAAGTGATTCATCAACTTTTACTCTGGCTTTCTATAAATATCTTGAAACTGTACTTCCACTCAGGATGGCTTCCACCAAAGAATAATCCAGCATCTTCAACTAACTTTGAGACAAGTGAATTTATTTTCTCTTGTCAACAAAGCCAACCTATCCACGCAAAATGGCTCTACATGTTCTCATTTGGCCAGGAATGGGAGTGTCCCACAGTAGAAAAAAAAAAAAATCACTCATTTATTTCAAAACACCGAGGGTAAAAAGCAGAGTCAAAACTAACTTGTTCTTACCACACTAACATCTTTCTGCTACCACAACTGACTTTTCACCATTATCTGACTAAAAATGTTCAGTCAGTATTAATGTAAGCTAAACATGATATGGTGGCAAAACAAAGAGGTCCATATTTCATTACATCGTCAGTGTACGGAACAATTCTGGCTCACAGGTGGCATTATGGGACCTCTTGGGACCATTGACTGGAAGCTGTACAGTTATATAGACAGCCTGCACTCCAAGCTGAAATGCCATGTCCCAGCTATAACCACACCACACAAGGCAAATGAGGTAAGAAACCTCAATTAAGGTTAAACCGGGATACAAAACAAACCCCAGGTGCCATCTTATCCTTTGTGAGCATTGTGTAAACTGAACAATAGGATCATAACAAGACATCATCTTCTTGTCTGCACAATGTTTTATACAGACAAATGGTGAAGAAGACTTGTCAGACAGACGACAAGATGCAGCAAGACGACAAGCCGCAGATGATTAAAAAAAATAAAAAATAAAATAAAATGACAGCATATCCTAATTCTGAATTTCCTTCTGATTAGCTTTAAACATACAAAATAAGTTAAAATCTGAGCCAAGAATATAGGAAGTGCTTCGACATGTTCCACAATGTTAGCAGAAGCACCTTTATATGAAAGTAACTGTCTTGATCTTGAAAATACAGTATTAATTCATTAATTGCTCAAAAATTTTTATTAATGTACATATCTCAGCAGGTCCATTGCATTAAGTGGTTTCTCATTTCTGCTATGCTGGAAAAAAGTTATAGTAAGAGTATCTCTCCTTTCTCTCAATCTGGGGGACTCACTAGTAGATGTGATGTGAGAGTTGCCAAAAGAAATTACTCACCCCATTTCCTGTTTTACCAGCAGCCAAGCAGCACGCTATATGTCACCAGCCATGCCCAGGAAGAAGAGAAAGAAAAAAAAAATGCAGCTGAAATTAAGGTTCAAAATTCCAACTTTTTGAGACTGCTAGCAGAATTAAAACAAAAACAAAAAAAAATAATAATCAGAACAATAATGAAGTATTATAATTTTAATTTAGCTTTTATTTAGGAGTTGAAGGTCAGAGTTGGTGTTTGTTCTTCCCTCTACGTAGTGACCAAAAGACCCCTGCTCTGCATGTGTGAGCTGTTTCTTACTCTGTTATTCATTCTTCCATCACCAGACTCACAGAAACACAGGTAGGCTTTTGGGGAATGGACAACTGAATCAACTTTCCATCACATCATTTGGAAGCTTGACGTATTTTTAACATATCTAAAAAAAGAGTTGATTATATGGCAGAAAGAGGGTCTTCATGGGAGACACCCTCTCCAAGTAACTTCTAGCAGTTCCTCAGACAAGCTGACAGACAGAGAACTCTGGACATCAAAAATCTGATAGTCAAAGGAAACAACTTGAAGTGATTTATTTTTTTTTTTTGCCTGTTATGCTACGCTAAATTTTCTTGTTTCTCAAATATTTTGATATTTCCCTCTTCCACTTGCAGATTTTTAATGTGCTGGTTAAAACAATCCTGCCAAAGCTAGTGTGTCATATTATTCTGTTCCATAACCCTTTGAAAAGACTCTCACTTTTACACACTCCTCCCTCTACATCTCCATTTATCACATCTGAAGTTTCACCCTACATTTTGAAGGAACAAGTGTATATGGCATATGATGTCAAATGCAGAAGCCCCCACCACACACTTCTTTTTTTTTTTTTTTTCCAGAACAACTCTTGCATTTGAGAAATAATTGAAGATACACAGGCAAAGCTTAAAGTTGTGCTGATATTCTGATCACAGCATTTACATACACTAGAGGTTTAAATCCTGAACACACAAAAAGCTAAGGACTGGTTTTGTTCTACATGGGCAAACAATTAGGTTTCTCTTGCTGATAACACTAGCTCCACACTAAGAAAAAAACACCCACTTTAAAAATGTTCCTAGTGACACAGAATCTACTTGTATATCTGGCTAAACTTAAAACGAATTAATATTCCTGAGTACTAATGAGCATTCAGTCTGCTGCTGGAGAGACCTGGGAAGTGACACAAAAGAGAGTGGGAAATCCCAGCTCCCTGAAACAAACTGCATACATTTCTGAGACATCAGTTTGCAAACTGACAACGAAGTCACCTCAAATCCCATCTAGCTTTAAAAACAGAACAGGCTGCATTAAAAGCAGTTTGAAACTTGTTATTAACACTATAACTAGAAAGAGACTCTGACAGCCTAAGTCAAGTGCAACTAGCAGTTATCTGCCATACAGAGAAATGAAAAAAAGCATCTGAATGGATGCTACTTGAAAACTGGTTTGGCATATTATTAAAAAAAAAAACATCTAATACAGTTAGCATCCATTACAAAAAACACGAAATAAATGACACACTTGGTCTTAAGGCAATCACGAACCCTTTCTCTGAGGACTGCCCCTCATTTAAAGCTCAGCACTCAGTCAAGCAGTCACAGGCTGAATATGGAAAAGCTACAGAACAGATGAAACGCTACTAGAAACCTGAAGAAGCTGTTGGTACAAATGCTGGAATTCACTAACAATTACTTATTACACAGCATACCTAGGAAAGGCTAGCAGATCTGATCTGAGAATCTTGAGCAGATTCCACCTTGAATTCTCCTTTTCGTTTTTTCTCTTTTTCTCCCAGCTGCCCCTCTGTAGCTTTGTGCAAATCCTCTGTGAATGCCACCTTCGGCAGCTCCTGGTGTACTACTTTGAAGGGAGGTTCCAAGAAGCAATGTTTATCTTACATGAGAGACCAGAGGATAACTCAGGGACCTCAGGAGGTCTCTATCCAACCTTGTGCTTAAAACAGAATCAGCTATGTAATCAGACCAGGTTGCTCTGGGCTTTATCCAATTAGGTCTTGAAAACCTCCAGTAATGGAGACTGCCCCACTTCTCTGGACAACCCGCTGCAGTGCTGGATTGTCCTCAATCCATGCATGGTAAATGCTTTCACTCCCCTCCTCTAGCAACCATATTTATGTAAAAAAAATAATAATGTAGCAGGCTCCTTTAACGTGGCACTGCCCAGGAACATCACTTAGATGTCACACCCACAACTGGAACTCAGCAGTACAAGAGTTAACAGTGGCTGAAACAAAGGTCAAAAGCAGAATTAAAATTACCAGTGGTAAGAAAGAACAATAGAAAGATACAAAAGTAAGCACAAGGGAGCATCAGCCAACAAATCAGTGAAACACTACCAGACTGGAACACAATTAAAAAGGACCAAGAAATTGAAGGCTTCCAAAGAACAGTGTTTATGCCAAAAGCTTCCAAAAGCATATCTTTCCCCAGCTTTGCTCTGGGGAGCTAGACATTTTAGAGGGGCATCTCTTTGCAGTCTCACTCACTTCTCTTTGGACTCACATATTGATCCCACACGGTGATCCATTACTGCACTTTAGTAATTGTTCAATGATCTAGGCTTTACATTTTATCTCTGCACGCGCCAACAGTGACTGCCACTCTCTGCACTGCAGTAAAAACATACTAACTGAATTATTAACCTGAAGTGTATTTAAGCAAAATTTTAAATTTGACCTCAAATGGCCTTTGTATTAGGTCTTGAGTTACTTTTGCCAGAAGTGATACTGGACACACGTACTCAGAAAACCTGTATCATTTCTATTTCAACAAAACGCCTATTATTGCAAGGGCCATTAATAAGAAAAAAACAAACAAAAACAAACAAACAAAAAAACAACTCATTTGAAAACTTCCTACAACGAAGCAACAACATTCTCTGTTCTTCCTCTGCTAACAACCCCTGTGCCACTTTAAGACTGGTGTAACACTACTTAACTAACTGAACCAGTGCTGTTTACGCGGTCTGAACGCCTAAGTGTTCTCACTGTCCTCTGAATTCCAAAGCCAAGCTGTTTGTCTTGAAACAACTACAATGGAAAATTAAAAAGAGCAGGTTTCAATCTGTGGACTCCAGAAAGGTGACTGCACAACCATATACACACATGCAATGTCCAAAACCAAGTCCCTACCTCTAAAATTGTGAAGATCACTGATCTACATTCTTCAGCATCTTAAATCCCTTCCCCGTCTTTCATTCTTCATATATGATATATATGGTGCTGTAAGAATAAAAACATCCTCCTCCTCTACCCCATGCTCTGTCAAAATAATTACTCTCTGTTGTCAAGGAAATAATGAAGAGGTTTGAAAACATGTATCGAACTTTTAGGAGCAGAGCCAGGATCACATCATCTTTTGGTTGAAATCCGAAGGAACCGGATCATGTATCACTTTTACATGCTGATAGAGGAACTCAATCAAAAAATGTCTATCATCCTTCCTTTGGTACATCTAAAAGAATGAGAAAAATCTTAAAAACAGTGCTAGAAATATTAAGGGGAAAGAGGGATGGTGGAGAGAGAATACAGACTTTGTTAGCGACGTGATCCACAAATCAGCACAGCACTGAACAAAATAAATATGGTTGTATTGATGGAATACTGTTTACTCAAATTCAGTGTGATTCATTACAGTGCATGTGTAGACAGTATGAGTAAGACTGCTTCACAAAATGCCATGAAGTATATTGTAATCTTGTTTGCATAATAACCCAGATAAAATCATAAATAAAAACAGTTTCCAATTGAATTTCCCTGAACATACATCTGAACTAGAAAATATGACAACCGCAGAGCCAGGTCTAGAAATCTGCCTTTGACAAATGCCAATTTAAACAATCTCAAATTCCTTGATTTAAGGCACAATGAAGGTTTGGTACTCCGTCGGGTGGCTAATATCACTCCGTTTCCCTGTTTTACAGGGGCACAATTACAAACTAGAGAACACTTCTGCGTGTCAGAAAACCGACTGTGCTACAATAAGACCACAGGTCAAATCTCATCTCCCCTCTCCTGACTTCAAAAGTGAAAAGAAAATTAAAGAAATTACTTTTCCCCTTCAGTTAAGGCAAAACAATAGATTAGGGTACTGTGAGCACAGAAGCCAAAAGATCCCAAATTCCAAATCACATTCAACCAGTCCCTCTACTCCTGTGCCTTAATTCCCCTGCTCCGCTCTTTCCCAGCTGTATGCGAAGCAGGGGATCGGATCCCTCTACTTCATAATTACTTTATGTTTGTGAAGTGGTTTGAAAATGAAAAATGCTCATTACAGAGCTCAAGCCTGCAGGGCAATGCTTAACAGCAAACATATTTCTGAAATACACCAGCACAGGCACTATATTGATTACAAGCTGCAGGATATTATTCTAATGCTATCTGAGGAATCACAGTGGCAACTGTTGAAATACCATGTGCAATCCCAGCCACAGCGTTTTTTCTCCGTATTAGAAAAGAGCTTCGAGATGGGGAATTCCATGATGAGGTATACGCAGTCCTACAGGGAGTAATGACTACAGATGCTATTTGCATCAATGTCCTTGTAGCAAGTACCAGGATGATGGATCACAACTGAGACTACAGACACAGCTAACAGTTACCCTTTTGAAGGGCATGACTCACTTCAAATTCTAATATAGTTGTCTGACATAAACTTGGGACTCTTGTATTTATGATTTATTTTAATCAAACATCCTACTTGTAGGAAGAGGTGAGAGCTTCTTTGCATTACAGATACAAATGCTATGCAAATGTAAATTTTATGTCCCCCTATTCTTCAGCTCCTGTCCTACATTTTAGGCTTGGCAGGATGACAACCGTCATAATCAAAGTAGTTGGAGGTGATATTAAAAGGCAGTTTCTGATTTTTTTAAAGTAAGTCAGAGAAAATCTGTGTGTCATACAAAAGGTCAATGGGAGGGAGTCCGTCTTTGGGGTGTCCTTTTACAATAAAATTATATGTGTTCTTGTAGAGTGCAGCTCAAAGAATTAATAGCAAAATTTAACAAAAGAGCATCGTTTAAACACAACATTTCTTGAAACATGGCAACTTCTATTACCTGCCGTTTTTTTGTAACTATAAAGCAGGAACTGTTTTCACCACTTAGTTTTTGAAGTGGTACACGGATAGGTGCTAAACAAAAAAACATGATTTTAAACGCGCTCTCTCTCATCACCACCATCAACCATTTTCACCTCTCCATTTGGAACACCGCTGCACAAACAGCTGCTTTAGCATTTGGCAAGACTGAAGGTGTGGAACAGAAAAGACAGCAGGAACCTCCTAACGTAGACCTGCTTCCAGCTGAACTGAAACTCTTTCCAAAGAGAACATATTTTTAGAGCTTCCCACTCACTCATCTCATTCAACCTATTCATTTCTGGACCCACCCCGCAGCTTTTATTCCCTTTGTTGTACCAAGCACTGTAGTAATGTTTGTTTGCTTCAGCATAAGACCCAGAAACCTTACCTGGAGCATCATCTCACCGCTTTTATCAAACTAACAGTTTACTGTGCTTAGAAGACAAAGTTATTATAAAGTAATACATCTGGGTTTCTACCAACCACATTTGTCAAGTCAGTTTTCCCAGTCCACACCGAGCATCATCAAGATTTCAGTCAGCAAGAGGAACTCTCTGAAGCAAACTATTATTTTTTTGCAAAAACATTTGCAGCCAAGACGGCCTCAAAACCAGAGAGGAACACATGCCCTACTTGCTCAGACCAGCGTGAGAACAGCAGTGAGCTAGAACTGCAATGCAATAACTCCCTCTACCGAGGCATTCTGGTAAAGACCCACAAGGACACTGCAAAAGAACAGCAGCACCTAATTTTTCTCTCCTTGCCTCCTAGTTACATACATAAGCTATTGGGAAAAAATATATTTTTAAGCTAGATCACTCACTGTCACTACAATAAATAGAGTAAGGAAGGTAGACTGGGAATTGAAAAGACCTGATCAGTGGCACCCTGAAAATAATAAGGCTTCTCTTTTTTAAAAAACAAAACAAAACAAGTTAACACTTCTGTGCTTAATTCTGGGAATTAATTTGGAGGAATTCTGACCAACATTTGGCGTTCTGCAAATGCATGCGTCCATATACTTACCTAGCCCGAAAGTGCTTTTTTTTTAAAATTTATTTTTGATAAATCTAATTTTTTGGATGAACATAAAATGAAATGAGAGTAAAGAGAGTTCAACCAGACAGAAAGCCCCAAGCAATTTGTTCTGGTATTATTGTACCAAACATAGTGACAGCTCAGGTGAACACCCCAACCATGCTTAATTTTGGATAGGAAGTAGACGGTCTGATGTGCAATCAGCCTTAGAATCAGAACATATGTCAGCACAACACAGTTATTGCACTGCCACTTGCCTGAGAAGCAAGAACTAACGGTACTATTCAACAATAAAAGTACACTAGGTAGCTAAACCATCAAGCTGTGTGGAATGAGAACAGTCATCACCACAGATTTTTATGCAAATCGAGGAAGACTTCATTCTGAAGTTTCTACTACATCTTACTATGGGAGGCACCTATTTTAAAGATTTCCATGCTGCCCTTTGTATTTTTGCATCATTTTATATTAGAAAGAAAGGTAGCACTGTAAAACATCTCACAAGTCAGCAAAAATTGTTGCTTGATTAATCAAGTTATACCATACTTAGTATCCTCCCTCCATTGGCAAAGAAATTATCAGGGTTATAAACTTCCCATGTTATCATTATCTTTAGTAACTAAATGTCTGAAATGTAAACAATTTAGGTTTGATTAGAATTGCCATCAAAATCAGCAGTTTTACAACTCCAGACTTTCAACAATGCCCAAGACAGGTGACTACTGAAATATGTATTTTTACATCGTTTAAAATGCTGTGGAGTTAAAGAGTTCATCTTCAAATTTCTTCATTTGTATTCTGCCGTACCAATTATCATTTATTTCAGGAAAGGCACCAGCTGTGCAATTCCTTCTCTAAGAAGATCCACAAAGCAGAACAGGCATCTGTACCAAAGGGAACAATACACTAAGGGTTTGAGAAACTCCTCTTAGTTTTTCAGATGTAAAGTAACTCCTGGGCTAACTGAAAACCGAAGTAACTCAGACACTTTATTAATTACAATAATACTCAGCAAAAAGGAAGGGGTGAGTAGACTTCACTTCTAACGTGTTTTAGTTTGATTTTTAATTGCTATTATTTAAAAAAAGCAAACAAACACCAATCTCCAGTTCATACCTTTCACAGTTGTTTTCTTTAATACGCATTTAAGTTATGAAAATATATTTGTAAAAACTTACCTCCCTAACAGACAGCTGTGGGGGTAGTGACACAGAAAATACAAAACTGGTGAACTGATAGTCAGCAGATTTAACCTTTTCACACACCTATAAGAGAAGGATTTTAATATTAAACTACAGCAATGGAAGTGAGTTGATAATCTTTTAGGATATTCTTTATTCTAGCATCATCACTGTAAATCCATATTAATACACACTCAGATAGATGCCAAGCATACAAACTAGACTAATCCATGATAATTTATTGAAATACAAGCCCTTTTTTAAAAGGGAAACAAACAAACAAACAAGAAACAGATGACACTAATGAACTGTTATCCTTATTGCTGTGGCATTATGAAACAACAAAACTCATTATTTTATGGTTAAAACCAATTGTATACATAAATTTTGGTGTAAGGCATTATACCACAGTGACCAAAGTCTAGAACAGGTGACTCAGAATATTTTTCTTTGTGGCACTGATACAACTCTGTAACAAAAATGTTTAAGGTCCTGGGATAAGACAGAAACAAATGGGTTTCCACAGTAATAATTCAGCCTTCAAAGTAACAGAATAGAACGGAATGTTTCATCTTTCAGTTTACAACAGAACACCTACATTTTCTCGGGATTACTATACAACCACTACAAGTAAGTAGGAACGTCGCCTAGATTTCTACTGTGCTTTGATACAAAAATCATGTTTGTCACTGGAAATAAAGCAAGAACCAAAACAGGCATCAAGCTTTTTCAAGTAAGCTAGTGAAAACTGATGGCTGCATGTCTCTACTGGAAGGAAGCTTAAACACACATGGAGAAAAAATAAATAAATTCAGTGATTTTAGTGAATATTAACAAAGACTAATTACGAGCTTTCAAGATGAAATCGACATCTCAAACAAGGAAATTTCCTCATAAGAAAAACAGGTTTTGTGGAGCCTGTAACAAATGCTGTGAGATTTTCCATTGCTGTGCAAGAGTGTATCTCCAAAACAAGTCTTAAACGTAGATTCAGTAAACATACATGCACTCTTTCAATGGAAACAAAAAAGAAATACCACACACTTCAACAGAAACTATATACTACACTTTCTATTTAGTTCTAGTTTTTATACAGTAATGCTATTAAACCAAATTCTTTCCTATTAAATCTCAGTTAGACTCCTCCAATGCAAGTGGAATTTTTCAAGCTGACATTTAGGTTTTCACATAAGCAATTTCATTGCTCAGAGATGTGCACAATGCTCATTATGCCCGTAACTCTCCTATATTTCCTCCAATGTCTGCAATCTGTTGTATCACCAAAACATTTTCTTCCTTTGTGACTTTCTAAATAGTACTATATGGTAAAGAAACACTCCTGCTATATTAGGAACACTTAGTTAAGCTGAAGAGCACTGCATCTGATGCCCCCCTCATTTTACCTTTCCATAGCAAAAAGTGAACAGAGATCATCATTTACAGTGAGGTTTTATTTGTACTCTAAGCAGCTGAACCTCAGGTTATCTCCTAACTTCGCGTAACTACGTATCTGTTAATCTTTTTCTTAGGAAAAAAGGTTTCTATCAGTCATTCCATTGCACCTGCACTGCTATTTTTGAAGTTACATTATGAGAAACCCTGGGTAAAATATGGTCACACTGACAAATTCTATTTTGCAGCTGCAGGAGAGGTATGCAAACACTATGTCAACGAGCAGTACGTAGTTGAATGGCGCCACCTACATTTCAAATATTCAAAATGGATAAATGCTTTGCTCTTTCTCTCAGTCGTTTAACTGCATATACGGTGTTTTTAATAACCAACTCCATGCTGCAGGCCCCAACATACAAAAGCTCCTAAAAAGTACACGTATGGATTAAAAACTGGTTATTTACCCTTTTGACAAAGTCTGCCTCGCAGAACTCCTGAAGAATTCCCAAACACACATTGCAAACCTCCACAGTCGAGTTCTCCACAGCAGCACTGTCATCATTAACCAAAGGAACGTGCTTGAGCACTCCATTCTGGTTCAGATCATCAGGCACCTCTTCTGTGTGTTCAAGTCTGATTCGCTTACATGGTGGATCAACTATGCCAAAACCAGCTGCATCTTCTTGTTGTTGATTATTTTTTAGGAATTCTGTCAGATCCTTCATCAAATCCTAACACAAACAAAAGGATTGTACTGTTGTTGATTGCTTCTCTTTTATCAAATGCTGTAAAAAGCACTTACAAACACAGCTCTAAAAGGCAGTAGCAACCACCCAACTTTAGTCTTTGTGTATGTAATTAATAACTTTTAATTTACACCAAAAGACATCTGCACAGTTAAAAAAGCTACAAGCTGTATTTTTGTCAAAATGTTACCCAAAGACATTGATTTTTGCTGAACAGACTTCTTTGCCATCCAAGAAAAGCGGTAACATTTCACAGACTGACTTGCAGAAATTCATTCATCTTCAACCCCATTGCTATTCAATGAAAACCAGTGTTTATTGTCTTTTTGTCACTTAGATTATGTCAGAATTTAATTATCCCAACTCAATTAGCTAAAATGACTAGGAAGACAGTTGGCCACTACAGTATGAGAAGAAAATGAGGCCAGATAAATTTGAGGGTGAAATTAAATACACGTGACAGAGGAGGAACAACTTCATGTAACGAGAGAAGCCTACAAATATTCAAGGGTGTGCTGGTGAGGAGAGAGAATTAACTACATCCGAAATTTAGGAAGGATGACATAGAGAGATAAGATATAGTTCAGAAAAAAAGATTTATTAAAACATCTCCAACACAAAAGACAGCAGTTACTGTGTTGTTACAACTCAGTAGGAAAATTGGGTAGAGCTGCAAAAGAATGAAAACCAGCATACAGAATGAACACTTGTCAAATGATTGATAGAAAATGGAAAAGGATAAAGAAGATAAATTTGAAAGATGAATTCTGGAGCGTCTAAACTTGAATAAAGGTAAAAAAAAAAAAAATAAAAAATCAAGACAAACACCATAAGATGCCAGCATAAAGACAAGGGATTGGACCAGGTATACGGAAATGTATATTTGGCCTGCGCGATGATACCTCAGAGAAACAATATGGTAGAGGAGCAAATAGCCAAAACCAAGCTGAGAAATGTCTAATACAAGAACACAGGCAAGAATGATTGTGCACAACTAGGAAAAATTTGGAGAATGTTGAATTTCAGCAGTAAGGTCTACTAAACAGGATGCCTAATAACACTCAGTTTGTCTGAAAATGGTAGATTTATCCTTCACCTTGTTGGGCCATTTTTTAGTTAGAGTCCACCAATCAATTCTGTTTAAATAAAGAGGAAGTATGAGGCAAAAGTAAACAGATGGTTCCTTCTCTGTATTAGCTGCAGTGACCCACAGCCTCTTTGCTGCTTAATACATTAAAGGAAAAATAAAGGAGGGAACTGTCATAGCTGCACTGCTTAAGAAGTGATAGATCCGTGCTCTGCAGAAGCTACTCTGCCCTGTTTACCGGTGTTTCCAGGTAACGCGTAGCAACTTTCACAGTCAATGTTAACACCAAACCCACAACAATTCTTGTATTCTACCATTTTCGTCAGTTCTCAGATTTGCACAGTGTAGCAGTCATTCTCCATAACTCATTTTGCAAAGCATTTTCCTCTCAGGCAAAGAACCTGAGCATGCAACATCATCTCCAATGGGTGTGCAAAGAGCACTGCGTTCATATGTTCACACATTCTAATTAGGAATACAAAGAACAAACCTTGTATGGATGTCTATAAAGTGTCTGTGATCCCACACGGCAGAACCTGAAAATACATCGTGGGCAAGTGCCAGTGTTCAGTAATAGCTGAACAATTGGTTTGTCCTTTTCTGTTAGCGAAGACATGCTGGATAATTCTAAAATTAAAAGAAAAAAAAAAAAAAGGATAAACATAATTCAGCAACTCAACAATAAAAGGACTCAATTAGCTCCCAGTGAGGTACTCACCCTTACTGGCTATCTAGGAAACTTGAGGACGCATATAACAACTACAATTGTTCATACCAAAAGTTCAATTAGTCTACTGTCTTCCAAAGCAGGGACAAACATATATGAGAGGAAAATGTGTGTGTGTAGGTTATATTACCTCTGTGTCCAGTTATCCCTGCTTTGGGGGACTTTTCTGAGCTGCTGTCATTTGTCTGTTGGTAAACTAACAGATCTTTCCTCCAAACCTTCTCTTCTGTCTCCCACAGTTTTGTTGTTGCCTCTGTAACATCTTTTATCGACTAAATTTCCACAAGTCTATTGCTCGCTGGCGGAAGACCTGGTTTTATTTGGGGTTTAGCTCCTCCAGGCAGCATTTGATGCCACCTGAGGCGTTGTGTGGCAGGGTGCGTTGGTACACACCTGGTGTCCCTCACATAGCGTTAGAAATACCTCAGTCACGGAAGACCTTCAGAGAATAGGAAAAGTTATTAACTCGGTTAATTTTCCACGAGATGGGGACTCTTTATGATGGGCGATAGAAACGAGGAGCAGGTAGAAAACTCGAAATTCCATTTTAGAAGGAAAAAAAATAATAAAAATAAACGTACTTTGGGGAAACACGGGCTAACTTAATTCAGCTTCCTGCCACCTGAGCGCGGCCGTGCCGACGCCTCACTCCCTCACCGCCAAGCCCCGGAGACCCAGCAGGGGGGAGCCGGGGAGGTTCCTCGGGCCCCCCCCGCTCCTGAGGCGGCTCCCGGAGCCGCTCCCTCCGCGCCCCGCTCCTCGCGGCCGCCATAAGGCCGCGGGCAGCCGCGCTCACCTCGATCCGGGCGGGCGGCAGGGCCGGCCGAGGGCCGCGCAGAGGCGGTGCAGGGCGGAGCGGAGCGGAGAGGAGAGGAGCGGAGCGGAGCTCGCTGCTGCCGCACCCGCCCGCCGGGGGCCGGGCTGGGCTGTGCCGTGCCCACAGCCGGGCCCGCAGCGAGGCGGAGATGGCGTCGCAGCCGCCGCCTCCCAAGCCCTGGGAGAACCGGCGGCTGGCGGGCAGCGTGGCGCCCGCCTTCCAGTGAGTGCGGGGCAGCCGGGGGGCGCCTGCTGGGGACGGGGAATGGGGTCGGGGAATGGGGCCGGGCGGCTGCCTGCCTGCCTGCTATCAGCGCCCCCCCCCCCCCCGGCCGCCTTCCCTGAGGGCGGCTCAAAGGTCGGGCCGGAGCCTGAGGGGGCTCCGTGGGGCTCGGGGTGGGCTGGGGCCGCTCGCCGGAGGTTTTTGGGGAGGAGGAAGGGTGTGCGGCGTGGGGAAGCCGGCCCCGGGTGGGGAAACACGCTGCTAGGGCTCGGGAGGCCGAGGGGGTGCGTGGGCTTCCCGGGAGAGGCGGGCAGGGGAATGGGGGCAGCTGGCCCCGCTGCCTGCTGTCAGCAAACACAGCGCGGGGTGGTGCACAACATCATTTTTTTTAAACCAGAAATCAAAGCTTGGTGGGTGAGGATCAGCCTTGTTTGTCACTCGGTGCCCGTGGTAGCAGTTAGAGGGAGTTGAAAGTGGGCAAAAGGTGAGCCCCAAGCCGAGGGCCAGAGCCGGTGCAGCTCCCAGCAGCAGGTCCCTGCTCGCACCACAAGCTGCAGCTCGCCGAGTGGAAGCGTAACGTTATTTTTCCTGGGTGGGATTATCTGCTTCGTTTTAAATTGCTTCAAGGAGCTTAAAAGTGAGGTGTCCTAAAGCGCCTGTTGGGTGCGTAGCGTCTCCTCTGTGGTGATGCCTTATTCTTGTTTCTGTTTTTAACTGTTGGGAGAGTTAAAGTCTAAGATGGAAGAGGCGAACATGATGAAGATACAAATATTATGCTCTGCTTTGCCAACTGTAGGTTTTGCTCAGAGGAAGTTGTTTTGTATCTTAGGTGTAACTGACAATAGCAAGTGTGTTTCACGCTGAAAAGAGCAAAAGCTGGCACCTGGTTCATAGAATTCAAATACCACCCTAGTTAGTGCTCAGAGGCTTACTGCAAAGGGCATAGGTAAGCCGACTGAAATTTACAGGCATGCAAATGGCCAGAAGTTCATTTAATTAAAAAAAAAAAAAAAGAAAAAAAGAAAAAAAGATTGACTTATAACACCTTTTCTGCTAACTGATAATAGATTTAATCTCTAAATGTTCTGCATAAAGGTGATTAGAAAGGTTGGGGAGAGAAGGTAAAGCAGGGGACCCTAAGGCCTTGCACATGCTGTATAATGGTTTGGATTCTCAATTAGGTCACACCACCCCCTTCTCTAGGGGTGGATTCAAAGGAGCTGTCAGGCTTCTTTCCTGCTGTACCACTGGCTTATTATCTAGGAGAGATGAGAACAAGTATTGGAAATAAAGCTTTCATATTGCAAAATATTCTTGGTTGCATGTGTAAGACAGCCTTGCATGAAGATAAACAACTTTGGTGTTACAGCAGCAGGCGTGATAGGCCTGGATGCAGCATTTCCTGCTTTCTTAGTCTATATGATAAATAAGCTGAAGGTTTTTCCATCTGTATGTTTCAGTTGGGTTGCAGTTCCATCCTTACAAAGAATATCTCTTTTTTTTGTAATGTTTTGTTTTTTCCTAAAAGACCTGTGTTTCTTGGCTGAATTTTTTACTTCTCACAAACATTGTGCAATATACTGGCTACTAAGTTCCTCAACCTGACACTACTGAAATGCGCTATCATATTTATAGTTAGTCAAGACCTCTGAGGAAAATAAAAATGCAACCTTATTTTGAGTACTGATCTTGATTGTCTGAATTTGTTTAGGTCTCCTGACTTGGGTGACAACTTGCTGACCAGACCTGGACACCCCACAGTTGCACGAATACCCCCACCTATTTTGCCAAGACCATCACAGCAAACAGGAAGCAGCGGTCTGAGCACTTTCAGGCCAGCCTATAGCAGTTCTTATACTCCAGGCTATGGTTCATATGGAACCTCTTTTTATGGAAGCTATAGTCCTTACAGTTATGGATACGGTGGTTTGGGTTATAACCGCTTTCGTACAGATGATATTCCTCCCAGCAGGTTTGTTCAGCAGGCTGAAGAGAGCAGCAGAGGCGCCTTTCAGTCCATTGAAAGTATCGTGCATGCGTTTGCCTCGGTCAGCATGATGATGGATGCTACTTTTTCAGCTGTGTACAACAGTTTCAGAGCCGTGTTGGATGTAGCCAATCACTTCTCCCGCCTCAGAGTACACTTCACAAAGGTGTTTTCAGCTTTCGCTTTAGTAAGAACTATAAGATATCTCTACCACCGTCTGCAGCGGTTACTAGGTTTGCGGAAGAGCTCTGAGAATGAGGATTTGTGGGCTGAAAGTGCGGGGACAGTAGCTCGTGTTGGTCTTGAAGACAAAGCAGCTAACTCAGCAAAATCCTGGCCTATTTTCTTGTTCTTTGCTGTTATAATGGGAGGTCCCTATCTGATTTGGAAACTGCTTTCTACATATACTGATGAAGAAACAGGTAAGATAATCTGCTGTGTGAGAGAAGTGCAGAGTATACGTTCACTTAGTTATCATGTGTACGGATTAATCTTATATTTCAGTAATGGAAGTTAACTAGGTACTGGGGAACAATTTTAAGCAGGTAATGACCTGTCTAAATAGCCTACTCTTGAGTTAGGTTGCAGTTTCTTGGTATGCTTTGTGTGATTCAGAAATCACAGTTTCTTTCTATTTCTGTGTCCTTTCTATAAGATGTGTCAGCTGGGGAAGAGAGGGGAAGCTATTGGGTGGGTTTGTCTCACCAAATCATGATTTGTTTGTTACTGCTGACAGTTTTCTGTCAGAGAAGTTTTAGCAAGGCAGTTAAGGTGTCTTCCCCATTTTTATTTTATTAAAATCAAACAAGTACTTAATTCACAGCAAGTAACTTCTTCATATCTATTTGGAAACAGTGTCTAGTAACTGGGCAAGTGGTGAAGATGATCATGTAGTTGGAAGAGCAGAATATGACTTCAATGCGCTTTCAGAAGAAGAAATTTCTTTCCGTGCTGGTGACATACTCAAATTAGCACCCAAAGGTAAACTTCTATTTTTTTGTTTTCTGATCACATGTGAAATAAGTTACATGTATGTTGTTACAGTCTGAGACTGGGGGGACATAAAACCAAAACACCTTGTTGGACCCAACTCCTCATCTCTACTGCTTTTTTTTTTTTTTCCATTAGTTATTACATGTGTTCTAACAAAACTTACTGAATAATTTTATTCAGTTTCCCTAAAGTACGAGACAGCCTAAGCTTACTCAGGGAGCACTCTGTGGTTACCCTCACGGCTATTTTTCTTCATGTGTGCTGTACAACAGTGAAAAATATTTTTCCTGTGGAAAAAATCTGGTGGTATCAACAACTTCAGCCTCACAGTGCTCCTCAGAGTACCTCACTTACGCAGATTCCAGTTGTTATTCTTGTGAACAAATTTGTATCTGCGTTTTATCACAGAGTTATTTTCTCTGCATGATTAGTTGTCCTCTACCTCTGGTGTATTTGTACCTCAGCTGCAACATACTTTGAATTGCTTTGTAACTTAGTGCATTTGTGTTTTCTTCTTCAGAACAACAACCCAAAATCCGTGGTTGGCTTTTGGCTAGTTATAATGGCCACACAACAGGACTTGTGCCAGCTAATTACATCAAAATACTGGGCAAAAGAAGAGGTAGGAAAACAGTGGACCTGGAAAGGATTACGGAAAAACGGCCATCCTTTGTCGGCACACCTGATAGGGGATCCGCTGCTGCTGTGACTTTAGAGGAACAGGAAGCTGCTTTTGATTCTGTTTTTGCTGGAAGTAGTAAAGTTCCTGTTGCATCTGACTCCACTGTAGTCAGTGGAGAGAAACAGGGACTCTAAGGCACTTTCATCAACGAAGCAACTGAACTGTGTTCTATTGGTAAAACCTAGGGTATGTTGAAAATCTGTATTGTAGTGGAACACTGATGGGTCTTTACCAGTTATTGCTGCTACTGACTGGTGAAGGGATGGAGAGATGATTGCTCAAATTTGTATTATTTATTTTTGATTGACCTATGGCTGTATAGTAGTGACTCTACCCAACCACCTGGCAGCAGCTGTAAGATCTTGAGTCAAGAAAAGCTGAGGCGCTTATAACAAAGCAAACAAACAAATGAGGACTGACCGGTTTTTGTTAAGTAGACAAAGTGTTGATGAAATCTGGAGATTAATGTCCAGTCTTCATTGGAATGTCAGCTTGACAAGATGCCACTTCAATAAATGTGCAAAGGGGAAAAAATGGATTTCTGTGAAAAGCCCTCCAGAACTGGAGGCTGAGGATGATAAAAGAGCAATAGTGCATTGTTTTCCTCTGACCGGAATAGGAATTGCAAGAGATTTACATGGCACAGCTGAATCATTAGATCTCAATTGCTTGCTTTTTGGTAAGAAGTAGGGCTTCTGTCATAAAGACCTCATGAAAAAGAAAGGGGGGTACCATGAAAGATGGATTAGGAATTACAGAGGAAGAACAGTGAGCCTTCAGCAGTAGTTCTAACTTTTATTATTATAATTATTATTATTAAAAGAGCATTAGAATGAAGGGCATCACTTGGTCAAGCACTTTCCAGGGCACTTACTGTCATTCCTTTCTGTAGTAAACTAATTTATCATCATCGCTCCTAGCCGTGTTGCATCATAGCCTATTTACTGCCTGTCAATAGCCTATCAACTGCCATCTGCATCTCAGTGTATTTTGGTTCTTTATTTTTGTTTGTTTTTTGTTTTTCAAGAATGTCAAAATACCTATGCTGCATTTTTAGTGCAGCGGTTAATGCTTTGAAGTGTGAGGGGAGTTAACAATTCCACTGAGTGGCAAAAGAAAAGAAGTAAAGTTTCTTGTTTAGTTGTCTCAGTTAGTTAAGTTCTTGGAGTTAACTCTTTCTGCTGCCTTTCAGGTTGTTCATGTTGTATCTGCCCATACTAATTGAGGGCTCTGGTTTATCAAAAGCCATAAAAGCATTAAGACTGTTCCAAGCGCTTGGTACTTCTTTCACATTGGTGTTTGAGAATTCAGTATTTCAAATACAGTTTTTCTTAACGAAGCAAAGAATAACTCTTTTCCTTGAATATATATATGTGTGTGTGTAATATATGCATATATATAACGTGTTGAGCTTCTGAAGGTTAGAGCGGTGGAAAAAATACCTGAAGCTTATCTTTATCACTAAAATAGCTTTTCTTCTTATTTTAAAGGTACTCAAAAGTATTAGTAAAAGTAGGACATGCCCTTTGCTTAATTGATCCAGTAGTTTCAATTTGACTGTTTCTACTGAGATCTTCAACATCCATTACGTATTAGCAGAGCTTTCAATATTTATACTTTAATTACATTTGCTGGCCTTGAGTTAACAAGAATTCTGTTTACCACGACAAGTCTCTGACAAGGAAAATTGAAGGGAGCATTGCATTATTGAGGTAGGGTGGCTGAAAAGATGCATCTTACGCTGGAACCTTGGATTTTAAAGTAACCTCTGAATGGCTGCTGATAACAAGCAAGAATTGAAGTGGTTGTGCTCAGATATTGGGAGTAACCATTTTTACTAGATTGTTAGATCCTCAAGTGCAGAGGAAAAGGAAAGAGTAGTTTAAAGGGGAAATGGGAAACTAAAACTAGGTTTAAAACAGAACACGTTCCTGAGACATTTCTTTGTGTATCAGGGCACTGAAGAATTTTTTCTATATTTGGAAATAACACCTGTTTCTGAATAAAATTAGCAAACAACCCTGAAATATAAAAGGTGGGGGGAATGAAGTTGTTCAGTGTACAGTTCTGCCTACAGTGTGTATTCATGGAGGGAATTACTTTACTGTTGTGAGTTTTAACTGATGGACTGCCAGCCTCTTTTGTGTCAGTGGAAGACTTCAAACAGGAAGGGTCTTTAAATAAATGAATAAATGAAACCCAAACTTTTTTTGTGGAATATCCATTCAAGTAGACTTATGTTTATCTGCTCAGAACAAGTCAGGAAGACAGTACCTCAATGTTCATCAGAATCCTTAAAACTACAAATTTTTAGAAAGATGGATTTAACTCTCACATTTCAGGTCATAATATTTTTGGAAACTTTTAGTAGAAAAGTAGGTTATTAATGACTTGTCTTTACAGGAGTTTAGCTTTACCAATCGCTAACGGTCATAACTACATCTGCTAAATCTTGTCAAGAGTTTTGATTCTTTCAATCTTGTGATTAATGGGAAAAGAAGGCTCTGAGGAAATGAAGTTATTTAGCTCACAGTTAGCTGTATTGGTTGCAGATGGGTGTTAAAAATAATTGAAGTAAAATATATACTGTTTTAAGATTTAGATTTTTTTTCTTTACATGTACAAACTAGTGTTGGGAAAAGGTGTGAATTTCATTGCCTCTATCTCTGCCTGTACATCAGCCTAGAGAAAAAACATCTCAGTGGATGCTGATTGGAAAAAGAGAGGCTGACTGACAGGCTGCTCAGGACTTGCCCAACTTCAGAACAGCGAGAAGACTAAAAGGCGCAGGTGTGGCTCCACCTGGAGTACGTACAAGAGGAGGTTAGGAAAGAGATGCAGTCGAAATAGTGCCGATCTTACGTGTTAGGCAATTGACTCCTATATTAAGATCTGTAAGTACTAAGTTACCTTTATTATTCTTTGGAACTACTTATATACCTGTAGCAGATCAAGAAGGTTCTAACAGATGTACAGTATTTGCTTATATAAAATTTTAGTTTAATCTTTTTCTTGAATGTTACTATAGACTGTTTAGCATACCAACCGTTTTGTGCTTGAATACTGTCTGAACTAATGACAACTGCCAATGTTGACTGGTTCTCTGGGTGCTAGCAGTACATGACCGTGCACATGTTCAAAGCTTCGCTCAGGTTTCTGACAAATAAATTATGAACACTCCTTTTGTCTAGTAGAACTTAATAACATCTTCCCTTTTTTGCACAGGTTCAAAAAAATCCTTATGTGGAACTAGACTGCATCTGAGCTAGTAAGATGGTTTTTACTTACTGATCATCTATCTTGGTGAAATGTACTAGTCAAGTAAACACAAGAAAAAAAATAGTTTCTTGTAAATCTGATTTGTTAGTGAAAATTTTCCAAAAGAAGTTTAAAGTCAGTAACCAACACCATGACTTCCTTGACACACCACTGCTGTTGTAGGAATGAATATTCCTGTTGGTGATAGGAGGGGAACTGCATTTATTTTCCAAAACACAGATACTTTTTAAGTAGCTCCCTTTATTTTTTTTCATCCATGCAGGTGTGGCCGTGCGTTGGGGTTTGCCAACACTCTCACACCGTGACGACAGGCAGTAATTGCGTTGTGTCCAAGGTGCTGACCATGCACTTTTTTTCCCCCTTAGCCTGCTGGGAGTGGTTCTTTTGCAGGATGATTTGAAGCAGGCCTGGGGTGACGGTGCTGCTGCCCCCATTCTGTGGGCACACCGCCTTTAAGCGGCAGCTGGATAATCTCTCCCAGAAACAAATGCACTTCAACGTCCAGTTTTATTGACACAAGCATGGCGTGGTGTCAGTAATAACGTCAGATGTTTTTAATACTACTTCGTGGTATTAAGGCTTTGTTAGTTTTGAAGTAAGTGAAGAAAAAACATGGGGCAAATGACACTTGTTATGCTATCAAAGGCAAGCTTTAGGATTTATTTTAGAAATGAAAGCACTTCAATGTGCGCAGCTACCTTTGAATTATTGGTAACTGAACAGACATAGGCTTTCAACTGTCCAAGGGGTAAAATTTGACTTAGTGAATCTTTCTTTTTTTCCAAATACATTTTCTTTTAATACGAAAAAAAAAAAAAAAGCTGCCTTGCTGGCTGGGCGCAGAGGTTAACTCCCAAGCGGCGTTGCCCGCCCAGGCGTTAAGGAGCCGCCCGTTGCCACGCCCCGGCCGCCATTTTGCGGCGGCCGCCGCCCCGCTCCCCTCAGCCCGCGCGCGCCTCACGCGGCCGCGTGTTGCCAGGCGACCGGACGCCGCGCGCGAGGCGGGCGCCGCCGCTGCACTGCGACAAGGCGGGGCCGGGCGGGGCGGGGCGGGGAGCGCCGCAGCGAGCGCGCCGCGCCCCACCCGGCCTCCCTATTGGCTCTCCGCCGCGGGAGGGGGCGGGGCTTCCCCGCTCGGGCGGCGCTGATTGGCGGGCGGCCGTGACAGGGAGCGGGGCCGGGGCGGCTCCCGCCTTGGTGCTGAGGAGCCGCCGGGTGCGCGGGGCCGCTCCGCAGCGGGCGGCTGCAGGGGGGCGGCTCCGTGACGGGCTGCGCGGGCACCCCGCGGCGCTGCACGGCACGGCCGGGGGAAGGGCGGCAGCACGCGGCTCCTGGCGGCTCCTGGGGTGCGTCGTGTGCCGCCCGGCACAGGTGGGTGCGCGCTGTGAGGCGGGGCTGGCGGGCTGTGGTACCTGCCACAGCGCCTCAGCGTCCGCGGCGGCTGATTCGGCTTAAATCCTTTATTAAAGCTTCTATAGCGCGAGGCTCAGAGCCTGCTGCGTTGTCTCCTTTACAGTGTGAGCTCTCTTACAGGAGAACTGCGCTTCTTTCTTTGGTTACCTGATACAGTCACACGGTGGTCAGAGCTTAGGGAACAAGCGGCGTTACGAGTGATTTTTCTCTCACCAGGTGTGTTTTGTGAGGATCCTAGCGCTCCATCACTCCTCACCTCATCAGCCTGCTGTAAACCAGCTGCACCTCGCAGATCAGGCAGCACAGGAGCTGGGCTGCATATTATATCCGCACAGGGCTTCCACCGGTGCTGAGCCGTCCTCACCTGGTCATTCCTTCCCATAACAGCAGGTATTATACATATTCAGTGCCTTAATTGCAACTAACGCTGCTATCTGTCTGTGTTACATGTATATATAACATATCTATATCTATCTGACTCACCAGACAAGTTTCCATCACCAAATTACCACGTTGCCACCACTTGGCACTTCAGTCAGGATGAGCGTAAGGGCTCAGTGAATGTAGGCACTCATCTACCTTTACCTCAAAGTGGCATCTATCTTTCCTGGAAGGATTGGGCCCATCCTGTCTGGGAAGGACCTTTGTGCTTAAAAACTGGCTACTTGGCATGCTTTGCAAAAGATTTCATTTAGATGGGATTGCTGAAGTGCTAGGACTTTTTATCAGATTGGCTCGTCTTCCTAAAATGAAGCTCTTTAACCTGGTGCCCTCTTCTGTGTTTTGTTTGTTGTGTTTAAATCTCACAAATATCTGAAACCTAAGTATTATTTTAGCATGTTCTCTTTTTTTTTTTTTTTTTCCCTGATGGTTTCATATAGTTGTTCTTTTGAGAGGATGAAAGCTTACAGTTAGCTGCTATTCTGAATTCTATTTCTACTAATAAACTAAAATAATGCTGGAGTGATTTCTTCAATCAGAAGCAAAATCAATTATATTTTTTATGTTTTAATTGTCTCTTAGTTGCATGGAAAGTGATGCAAGAGAAATACCTACCTGTAGTAGTCTTCTGGTAACAAGCAATTAGTTAAATCTGCTATGATCCGGGTGCATTTTCCCTGAAATTCCTTATAGTCCTTGCTTTCTACAACAAAAGTCAAATTTCTGCATGTGACCTGTAGGTCCTCTTATTTATGTGATCTGGGTAAGGTGCTTCAGAAAAGGTCTACAGTGCTTTCTGAGTCCTTATTAAGCTCTCTGGCTGGGTGCTAGTTGAGTGTGGAAGCCCTGATTAATGCGAGCAGTTTTCTCCCTGTGTATGCTAGGACAGCGCTTTCAACTTTTACTCTGCTCCCTGGTACTATACACAGCATGCATTTAAATAACTAAATAAAGATATTTGTTTGTTTTTCCTTCAAACTGGGAGGACTGCATTTGTAAAGCATTCACTATTGACTTCATACGCTTTGTACTGGTGTTTGGTCCAGTGCTCAACTTGAAACTGGAGGAATGAGGTTGCTTGGCCCTGATAATCCCGGCTGGGTGTCCTGAATGTTTCAGGACAACTCAAAACTGAGGTGCTCCGGATGAGAGCTGAGAGACAGCCCCGTGTTGTGCTTTGAGGCTTTATTGGTTTCCCTGAGTTCCCCATATAATTCCCTCTACAGTGGGAGTCTGGTTTATAAAACAGATAGGCAGAACAAGAAGAGATGGAAGTAGAAAGTTTGGAGAACAGAAAAATGTATTTAAGTGCAAATAAACTTAAATTTAGGAGCCCCCCTGTGGCTTTGGCTGTTTATTCCAGAATTGCAGGAGGCCCTGCTTCGTATCGGAGGGCTCAGTGGTGTGAATCCCCCGTGGAAGCAGACACGGGATGGGTCCCTTTCAAAGCTGCAGAAGGGGGAGGTAGCTGTGGTAGTGTATCCCCCAAACAATCAAATACGAACAGCTCTCAGAGCCTTCAGTTTACTGCTCTGTGGTAATTTGTGGAAAAAAAATTTGGTAATAATCATGGTAATATGTTGGACTGTGGTGGAGGTTTGGGCATGTCTTCTGTTTAGTCACATTGGCTAGACATTTCCATCTCTACAGGCAAAGTGGTCAGCTGACATGTGGGATAAAAACCAAACAGTTTGCTATAATGATTTACTTCCCTTTGTTCTAAAAAGTGTCACTTCCAGAAGCATGTCCCACTTGGAGCTACGGTTCACAGCCTCTCCTCACCCCTTTCTCCCCTTTTTTTCTTAATACTCTACAATTTTATGTGCAATTTTTCTGTTCCTCTGCGATGAAGCAATTCAAAGGTAATTCCTGCTGCAGTTGAGCTGGGTTTGATATGTTTTGCACGTCTGCTCCTTCCCCCCAAAGAATTGGAATGTGAAAACATGAAACACAAACCTGAGAGCATTAGGACGTGCCTGTAGTGCTGTGGCAAATATTTCCCATCGGAACTTGGGGAGTGTTGCGGGTGACTTAGATAAAGCTTTGGCAAACGATGCAGGCAGACTCGCTAACAACTTTTTCTCTTCTAGGCTTAAGCAGCCAAAGATGAGTCGTGGATTTTCAGAAAACAATAACTTTCCCTATGACAATAACCAAATGGTTTTGGATATGATCCTGTGCTCCCTAATCGGTGTTCCCCAGCCTATCAACTGGGACAGCGTGGCAAGGCTCGTTCCAGGATATACATCCAAGGAGGTGAGTTTACTAATACAAGTATCTGTCTACTCTAAGTAGTACTTTATGAAGAAGAAAACTTTGGGGAGGGAGGGGAATTGAAGTTAAGTTTTTTTTTTTTGTTTGTTTTTTTTTTAAGTAATATATAATTACAAGAACTGAAAATGTTGAATGTGCAGTAGATAGAAAAAATATTTTTGTTTACAAAACTTGAACATTGGAATTAAGATATACAGTCCGTATTTTATTTCATTAAAACTGATGCAGAATAAAAATCAATGGAAAGTAAAAACTGAAAACTGATTTAGAAGAAAAAAAAACACAAACAACTATGATGTTTCAAAATGCATAGTTAAGATTATTTTAATGGAAAGGATGGCAGTACCTACTACCCTCCTGTAGCTTCTCGTGGCCTTACTAGCACACCTGATGTTTTTCTGTGAATGATATTCTAACTCTAAGGAAATAAGAGTTACAGATCTTAGTGTGAAGGAGAGCAATTGCCTTTCTTCCTTGGTCCTACGTGATGTGGACTGTTCTTTCTTTGGTTGGAATAGGATTTGGAAGAACCTAGTACCTCTCTATACTTAATTTCTTTGGGCTGCTGGATTACCATGTGAAATTGTTTTCTTTATTTAAAAATTGATTTTTTTTTTTTGAGTTATGAGGGAAAGTGAGCTAAAAGAGTAAAATGACTTTTGCCCTTGTGATTCAGTGAAGCTAGAAAAAAACAAGCCAACAGTCTTTGCTTTCTTATAAACTTAATCAAATGTGTCAGCTGACATTTGTAGCATTGCTCGTGGGCATCACTGTAACCTTCTATTTAGAATATCAAAGTGAACGATTGGGAGTAGAAGCTTGTGTGGAAGGTTTCTGCCTTTCAAGTGTTCAGCAAAGCACTAGGGGGCAGGAGGGTGTCTCCCATTTAGCTTGCAATTTGCAGGCAGTCCCATGCACCTTAAGCAAACAAAATAATTACAAAAATATTAGTGACATCTCTCCCTATGTTAACTAAGATAATGTGATTGATTAGTACGTATCTGGCCTGAAGAGTTGTGTTCACAGGAGAGTTGCCTGTGGAATTAAGCAGATTTACAGGTACATGTAAGTTACCTGTGCACAGGATTCTGCAGAACCAAACCCATCTCTGTCCTTGTGAGTTACGGAATTGCGAAATGTGAAGACTTCCTTGTTCATCAAAACAAGGAGTGGAGAGTTGATAACAGTGCAGAGGAAATCGCCAGTTCCATGTGTCCAGAGTGGAAATCATAAAGGGCAAGAGTAATACTTATGAAGCAATTATAGCCACTTGTATTTGACAGTGTTTGTGGTAGAAGGACTAGCTACAAAAAGAGACTTTAAACTCTCCTTTAACTTCCCTTTTGAAGATCTGGTTTAAAATCACAGGCCTTAAGGATGTAAAGGTTGAAACAGGTGCCACCTTACTTTATTCTGTTACTGTTTAATTATGGCAAATCTTATTGTGTGCTTATGTGCTTTTCTGATACCACGAAGTAGGAGGCGTTATAAGTCTAATATCAGCATGATCAAACTGTTCATGTAAACAAGCAAATATGAAATGCAATATCTACCTCAAATTATAGTTATTAAAAATGTACTGAAAGCTACTGCTTCATTGTCCTATCATTTAATCTTGTGACAGTGTGCAAAAAGGTTTGATGAACTAAAAAGCAGTGGAAGTTCACCCGTTGACAACCAGTATAATCCCCTGATGGCTGCTGGTGGGAATCCTGTGGAAACTTTAGCCACGTACATCAAATCCTCCTTGCTCAATACACAGACAGAGTTTCAGGAGCCTGCTATTGGGCAGGATTCCATTACAATAACTGGTATGTTTTTAGTCCTTCTGAAATATATTGCATTTTGTTATGATCCGAATGTGCATGCTTTTCTGTCTGGAGTGGTGAGACCACCCAGGAACAGAACTTTTTGCCTTTGCAAGAGAATAATTAAGCATACGTATAATACATACGTGCAGTCTCTTACAGTTTGTGTCGAGGCAGTGTTAATTTGTTTGGGTATTTTTGATAATTTGCCCTTTCAAAGGGCATGATATGCAGGAGTGCATAAATCTGTATGCTAGATCCTTCTGTTCAGCATTTTTGGTAAGGAGAGGAATTACTCTTCTGTTTTGTATCCCGTGTTGGCATTGTTAAACCTACAGCTGCTTGCAAACACAATAAGCTGTGTTATTCAAATAACATGAAAGCTGTGTGCAGAAAAGGTGTGGAAAACTGAGATGATGATCCCTCAAGGTCAGACTTTCCTCTCCCAGCAAACTTGCCAATTGTTTGGTGGCAAGAAAGCTACACAGGAGCTGGGAGCATATTCTAGTCACTTTTTGATGCTGGATAGTCTTGCAGCGACATACAATGTGCCTTAAGTCAATGATGTGTCCCAGGAATGCTTTGACAGAACAGGACCAACCCTAATAGTTGTGTAGTGATTGAAATAAAATTAAATATCTCCTTAAGTACCTCTACTATGTGGAGTTTTAATTAACTGTATGATAGTTATCCTCTGGATTTCATTATACTCTGAGATGTTTTCAGCACCTCGTAGGACTTGGCAAATGTGTTGCATGACAAATTTTGCTTCATTGCAGTAATGAGTAAACCATTTCTGTGGTGCAAATTTAGGAGACGGTGAAGTGTTAAAATGTTCTTTGTTATGGCATCTTTCACTGTTGCAGCTTTCTGGTCACTTATTTTTGCAGAAGAAAAACAGCTCTTTGACCTTGGCTGCAGAATGAATAAAATGTTTTTAATTCATCTCGCAATGACATGGAAACTGTATATGGAGTAGGTAGACCAAAAATGCTTTCATCAGCTTTCAGTTTTGTACTTGTTAAATGCATTATGTGGAATAAATACTTCTTGCACCCACGGGTGGCTACTTAGAAGATTAGTAGCTTCCCAGTAGGCAGTTAACAAGCTAACTCTGCTCACAGAGCTCTTTAGACAATTACTGCATGTTTTCTTTTTAACACTTTAATACATGTAATAAGTATTAATACAGTACCCCAGTGTTTCCTACTATAAGATCCTAGCATGAGATGATTTCTGTTTTCTAACATGTTTCCTGTGTGACTTTGGATAAATATTTTTCTCTGTTTATACATAACTAGCTAATATGAAATTAGGGTAATTAATCTTTTTCTCACAGGCTTGTAGTGAACTCACTCTCTTAACATTTGTGAGGTACTAGTATATTTCAGAATTAAGGATTTGAAAAAAGTCTCTTTGTAAATTTATGTTTTTTCATCAATTACTTCCTAGTGTATTTACTCATATCTGCACCTTTTTTAAGATCAAAAATTTGGGGCCTGTTTGGATTTGTTTGTAGACACGAAAAAGTAATCAAATTTTTTTTGAGTTGGATTATGCTTTTATTCGAGGTGTGAAAACTTACTTATTATTAGCTAATTTTAAAGCAAACTGCTGCTAAGTCCTTCTAAATAAGTATTATGGCAGTAAACAAGCACATAAGACAGTTTTACTCAAGATATCTGTTACTAGCTTTCAGAATTTGAAACATCTTTACTGAAAGAAGAAAAAAAATATAGGAAATGTGTGGTAAAGCTCTGTTAGTTTGGCTCTGTTGCATATTCTTGTCAGAGTTATTTCCTTTTCTTCGGTAAATAACTTCCATGTGGCCAAAATACATTTCTTAATATTTGCAGACAGAACTCTTCTATGTCATTTTTTCCACAGGCCTTGCCTTTAAAACATTTACCTTACCTTGCGTTCAAAACTTAGGACTCCTGCCTTGGCTGTGGAATGGCTGCACTGAAGGCTGTGGCTGACTCGGGCCTTTCCAAGGTTCTCCTAGGGTCTGTCCAGTAAATGTTCCCGTTTTATTAACTGCCTTTCTTCAATTATGGCCTTACTGAGGCTTGGCCAAGCAAGACCTTAGGCCGTATCTTTGGAGAAAGTTTTGTTTCTTTGGCCTTTGATGTGATAACTGCTTTCCTGAAACGCGTAACTGCTGTGTTCTGAACTATACAGAGTTTCCAGATCATTTCTGCTGTCACTCTGCTATTGTAACGTAGCCACAGGATGAGAAGGTCTATTTTAGGTATTTTTGGAAGAGTACAGCCTCTTCCACTGCACAAGAGAGAGAGAAGGTGCTTCTGGAGCCTGTTCACTAGAAATCTGAGAGTAGGGATCCGTTCATCACAGTAGGAACAGTTACTCAATGTCTGAATGCTGGTGTTGTCTTAACCCTTGATCCAGGACCCAGTGGGTTTGACGTCTAGACCTTCTGGCCTTCACCAGGTTTTGTGTGCACGTTCCACTGCTTTTAGTGTGTTTGTGACAAAAACCTGTCAGAATTAAAGCTCGGCTGAAATAAGCTGCGTGATGTAGTTCTAGGATGAGAAGGATTTGGTCTGCATTTTAGGAGCATAGCTTCGGGCAGTTGGCTGCTTAAAGCCACACACTTAAAACTTAGCAAAAACACATCTATAAAGATTTCTGTGAGTTAGTTTGGAAGCAGCTTATTTTCAGAGCTAAAAGAAGTGTGGTTAAGAGGTGGAGTTAATCTCAAGTAGTCATATCCTGGCAGCAAAGCTGCATGAACACAGAAGTTTTGATGTGGCAGAGTCTTAAGACCCACATCCCACAAAGCAGATGAGGAGAGCTGAAGGCTGGATTCTATGCTCAGAAACAAATGCTGAAGACTTTGCACGAATCTCATTGCTCTGTATTCAGACAGGATTGATTTGGGTTTCCAGCCAAGTGTCTGGGCAACCCAGCAATGTTGCTGATCTATGTTGCTGTTTTATGGCATTCAGGGCAGGAACTTGGCTTATCTAGCAGCCCTTATGGTAGCACAAATCTATTGCTGGTTACGTAACATTGCTCTGTTACGACAGCCGTGCTTCGAGATAACAAAAAGGAAAAGGTCAGGCATTTTTGATCTAATGCAGCCTTTTTTTCCTTACACTTAAGGAAGGCCCAGCACAACCTCTGCAAGGAATTGTTCATCAGAATCTGAGAAAGGTCCTGTGCATAACAGTGGAGAAAACGCTGACGAAAGCCAAGGGTAAGAAGATCTTTGCGTTCGTTACCTAGGGGTTTACAGAGCTGACAGAAAGATGTCTAAAGTTCTCTCACAATTCTTCTATCACAAAGAACACAGCTAGGAACATCCTAATAAATGCTATAAGAAATTTTGAAACCTTTTCTTGCAACAGAAATGTTAGATGTTGGTTTGAGATCTTCAAATGTGCAGTAGGGATAGCTTATGTAGGAATCTGTCCATAGTGTTCCTCTGAATGACTGATCGCTGCTGTGGTGAGAATGGGAACCAGAGCCTGATTTTAAAAAGGAGTAAGTCAAGACTGATGCTTAATAACATTAAATATATATTAAAAAAACCCTGTGAACATAGGTTTGTTCTGTTCATGTGGAAGAAGGAAAATAAAACTGTAAATGAAAAGTGCAAGTGAGTGATTTTACTACTAACTCAAATAGCCATGCACATCACATGTTTTCTGTACCAAGCAAGTACGCCTAGAAAAACGTGTTTGATTCAAGCGTAAGGTTAGAGATTTTTCTGTGGAGACAGTGTTTACTGATTCTAGCTTTTACTTAAGACATAGTCAAAAGAGTTTTAATTTCCACTGATGAAAATTGCTGTTGTATGTTCTTATTGTCCTTCTGTGCTTCAGTAAGTTAGGCATATGTTTATGCCTGTCTTTTCAAGAAAATAAAAAAGGGAGAAGAAATAAGTTCTTTATGTAATTCAGGTAGTACCCCATAACAAATTGGAGACAAAAATCAGAGGCTTGAGCTCAATCTTTTTTCTCCAGTCCTTGAAATGGTAAATGGCAGTGATTTTGTCAGAGGATGTGCATTTGTGTTTTTCACCTGGTGTCTGACAGTACTCTGCATTAATATTTAATAACTGCAATTTGTTTTGCTTCTGTTAATAAAAATCTGTTAGAGACATCAGTTTTGCAATGTGTGCTTGTGATTTGGAGATGAAGTCTTGGAGTTTTATCATTCTAATTGGTCCTTATGTGTACTTATGGTCCTAATTTGTTTTGTGGCTTGCTTTCCTTTGAGGCCAAACATGGTGATACATGTGTGTGATGAAGCAAAAAACCTCAAAGAAGATTTTGTTTGTCCTCGAGACCTTTTGATATCAGAAATGAAATACTTTGCTGAATATCTGTCAGTGGATGCCCAGCGCTGGGAGGAGGTGGACATTTCCGTGCACTGTGATGTTCACATCTTTGACTGGTTGATAAGATATGTTAAAAGGAACACCAAAGATTGCGAAGCTAATGATATGCCCACTCTAGGTAAAAAAAAAACAAACAGTGTGTAGAGCATTTGTTGCAGGTTTGTTATGGTCTGTACTAATGGAAGGTTAAAGTTTTTGCTACAGTTCAGCTCGTCTCTTGTTTCTGTTGTACCAACGTTTTTCATTTGTTAGAAAAGTGTTACGACAGAAGATTCATTGATCATTATAGCAGATGTCTCTGATTCCTTAACACTGGCATTTTCGAGGATAGCTTAAACAGTGAAAAAGGTCTGGCAGTTTGGGATCTGGTGGCTTTAATTAAGGTTCTTCAGACATCTTCTGAACAAGAATAGAGTGGTAGTTATAGAACAGTAACAATTGTATTAGGTTTTGGTTTGTTTCCCTTCTGCTCCCTATCTGTACAGGTGTAATACTTTCTAAAATATCAATGCAATCTGATACAACAGCAGAAGAACTTTTCCTTTATAAGTTTGAGGCAAGTTTTTAATCTGTGATTATATCTATGATTTATCTGATCTATTTAATCTATTATTTTTAAATATAAACAAAGCTAGAATAGTGTTAAAGCTTGAAAAGCAGAGGTTACATTGAGCAAAACTTCATCTGGGTATGGTGGCTAGCGATGGACGTTTATCTTGCTTGTAATTGTTTAGTCACTGTATTCCTGTGAAGGCACTTGTTCCAGTCTTTATAAATTCCAGATTGTTGTGCTATGGCCACCTAGATGATAAACTAAGGCTTTACGTACTAGAAGGTGGAATAATGAGTTGATTGTTCTAAAAAATAATATTTAAAACAGATGTGAAATGTGTAGCGGGAGGGATGCAATGTGAAATTACCAGAAGAATTAATGGAAAAAAAAACTTTCTTTTTGCCTTCTAGAACCAGCAAATGTCATATCAATTCTTATTTCTTCTGAGTTTTTGAAGATGGATTCATTAGTAAGTATTAAGAAAGGATTCTGTGCCATAAGAGTACAGTTAGTCTGTGTCTAACAACTTGTTTGTTGTACTTCTGCTGTTATGTAAACAGATGATGACAGATGCAATGAGGGCCTTTTAAAGATTTTGCCACCTTTCTTATTCAAGGCAGTAATCTAAAATTTGCAGAATCTCAATAGGGATGCAGAAAACGTACAGAGGAAGCTATTTCTAAATGTTATAGTGAAATCCTGGATTTGTCTTCCGATGACTGATTCAAGTAATGTCAGAATCTGTCTTTTTGACAGGTTTTATTAAAAAGATTGCTAAATCAGTGAATATCTCCTATTTTGTGTCCTTACACAAAAAACTTCCATAGCTTAGGATCTGGTTCTCCTTCAGCTCTGCCTATTGACTTGTTTGTTAAAATGTTTGTCAAGTTCTGTCATTAGGGCGACCTACAATTTAATACATAGCAAATTTAGCTGTTTAATACTGAGATCCAGGTGATGCTGATGTATAATGGTTCTCTTTTGCAAGCCATGGCGAGGTACTGCTTACTGAAGGCAAAACATTTGTGGAGTTGTTTTCCAGATTCCTGTAGAAGCCTTTTTCTAGGAGGAGAACACAAATGGACTCAGTCAAGTTAATTCATAGTCTCTTTTAAACAAATCTGAGACTTGCTTTTTGTTTTTGGGTAGAACTGAAATAGTTTCCTAAAACACTAGATGCTTTCTAAAAAACGAAACAAAACAAAAAACCAAGAACCAAACAAAAACCTACAACAGTTTGAAGTAATTAGCACATCTTTTGAGATTGCTTTGTTTAGAATTCTTTAAAATTACTTTTAATGTTTCTGTTTTTCCTAGGTAGAAAAATGTATTCATTATTGCCACAAAAATATGAATGCTATTGTAGCCACACCATGTAATATGAATTGTATCAATGTTAACCTTGTCACAAATATTGCTGATCTCTTCACGCACAATGAAGTGGAAGAGCTGAAGGACAAGAGAGATAAATTCAAAAGGTAACTTTTTGCCCTGTAATACATTACTGAAGTGCTATAGGGCTTTTGGATCATTTTTTGGATCATTATATGACACACTGTGAAGTTTGGAATCCTGTATGTACAATTTATATTCTCATATAACATATCTTCATCATAGAACATGGTGAAGTGACTTCAGAATTTTTTATTAAAATTACAAGCAAAAGGAGAGGTTTTTACATGAGGCAAGCTGAAGACAAAGGTCCCACTAGGAGTGTGACATGGACGAATTATTCATGAATTCTCATGTGAAAGCCAGGATTAGAGTGAGGAACCATGACATGACATGCTTCTAATTCTTACAGTTTGTTTTCAGCAATCTGTGAACTATGTTGTTTGGACGTAAAATTTAGGGTGGCTGGAATCCTGAAGAGTTGTGATTGAGTACTATTTTAGAAAGCATACAGAAGGACTCAGGCTTAGTCAGTATAAAGAGAAGGGTCAGTTATTGGAAGGCAGACTGACAGAAAAGGAAGAATGAAGTTAAAACTTCTTTTAATCAATAGGAATGATGGCATTACAACTTCAAAAGCTGAAATTAAGTGTAGATTCATAGTAAAGGTCTTCTAGGCAGGGTAGAAGCCGGCAGCTTAAATTGTCGAACAATATAATAGAGGGGGAAAAATTTAAGGGATCTCTTTCTTCACGTCATAATAAAAATGATGACTAGAGATGACTAGGCCAGGAACCGATTATCTAAACAGATTATTTTAAAGCAAAATCACATTAAAAGCTGGATTCTGAAAGAAACACAGTGACTTATCGTAAAGTAAATCGTTAGAATATAACTCTTAGTCTCAGTATACATAAAACATTTTTTTCTAATGGGTAAGCTGTGTTGCTGTCGTTAATAGTAAACTGTTCTGCAAGAAGATTGAGAGACTATTCGATCCAGAGTACGTAAATCCAGATTCTCGGGGAAGCGCTGCAACATTATACAGGTGTGGTCTTTTTTTTTTTTTTTTTTGTTACTACTTCAATTGCAAGGGCAGTCCCTATAATTGCTCTTAATCCAATATTTTGTCTTCTATTTTTATTTTTAAATCTAGATGCTGTTTATGTAAAAAGCTGCTAACTAAAGAAACTGAAAGGAGAATTCCATGTGTCCCAGGAAAAATCAACATAGATCAACATGGGAATATTGTCTTTGTACATATAAGGTAGTGAATATATATGTTTTTTTTTTTTTCTTCAGCTAAATGATGTTATCTGGTTTTACAAAATGCTACATGTTTAGGAATTATCAGATACTTGCATTGCAAAATGAAATGAAGGATACATATAGAACAGTGAATTGTTTAAATTTTTGCAGTACTGGGAGGGGAGGGGAAGAGTTGAGGGAGAGTATGATGATCTGAAATTCATTCATCAGTGCAGCTGCTGCAATATGGAAAAACTCCAGGCATGATTACTGGGAGGGCTATTTTGGGTTGTACTGCTTTACACAGAAAATACTCAGTTAATTGTTTCAGCTAATTGTTTTTAAGATATATGGAGCTGATTTGACAAATTGAATTAAAGGCTGCTTTACTACAGGGCTTATTATGGAATGATAGCTCCATCTCTGCAAGTAAAGGAATGTTGAAGATTATATTCTAGGCTGACTTTATACTGTCAAATCAAATAATCAGCCTGCTTCAAAACTATTATAAATAAACATTGCCAGTTGTTCTTCTGTTCTAAAGTATTTGTCCAAGGAACTTCCAGGACCTGTTCTGCATCTGTGCCTTGTTCATTTGACACAAATGTTTAATTGACTTCTGTCTCTTTGAGCCATGTTTGTAAACAGTTGGATTCTCTTCTTACTGAATGTCAGTGCACGACGCACTGCAGTTTTCCCTTCCTTCTCACATACCCCCTTTAAGGAAGACAGTGGGAAGTTAATAACGGGAGGCCTTTCTCAACGTATCTATTTGATTCAGAACAACCAAAATATGGTTCAGTGTCAGCTCCCAAGAAAATGCATTCATCTAGTGTTACCTTCCACAAGGTTTTGATTAAGTTCTACCTACCAGTCTAAACAGAACTGAATCTGTTATCCTGTCCTGACATGTTAAAATAATTGGTGATTAGCCACTTAAAATTCATTAACTGTATTATTGAAGCTGACTATGTAGCTGATATGCAGTTTGTAGCTGTATTATTAAAAAATTCAGATTTTTAAAGTTATTCAGAGAATTATTTAAGTTCTAATTATTGTAGTACTTGCAAATGCTTCTCTACACAGAATCCTTTTATTATTCCTTAGATGAGGTGGTGTTGGCCACTGATAAATTCAGGCTTATGATCTAATACAAACCTCTCTTTAACGATTTAAAATTAGTTTTATATGTATTGGTCTTCCAGTGGTACCTAGAGCTAATTCCCAGTTGGAACCACTGCTTTGTTAGTCTAGGTCAGATGTACATATAATAAAAAGTAGCTCAGGACAGGCTTAAAATTGTGAGAATACAGTATCTGCTCCTTCTGAGGATAACATGCGCCAGAGCTGGTTGTGTATTCTCTTTTGAATTGTGAAGAGGTGTTTGTCATTTTATCACTTGGAAGGAACAAAGGCTGTAATGTGCGCTATTTTTAAGACCAGAAGTCTCAGACACAGGTGTTCATAAAAAACAAACAAAAAAAAGTCTCCTGTTGTCAAGCTTTAATTACTAACTGACTAATCGCTGTTGCATTGCATGTACCTAGAAGTATATATACTCTGTTGGCTTTTAAATCAAATAAAGTAGAATGACAGGACTTTGCTTGTGTTGTACAACATTATTATTCTACGTAAGAAAACGGCAATTTCATTGAACTTGTTTGCATGTGCATATTTCCTTCTACTCTGCATATTGTTTTTCTTTTGTTTCATGGTTCTCCTGATTTCCAAGGGCTCAATATTTATCTTATCTTATATATTTGCAATATGCGGAGCTCGAGAGGAAGCAAGCTGTAATTCTTTGTTGTTAGTATGCTTAGGATGTTGTGAAAGAACGCACACATTTCTATCATGGTCTGAATTTAATGATTCATTAAATTCATCATCCTTCCTGTCCTGAACTCTTCTGTAGGATTTCCACCAGTGGAAGATGTGGTGTTCTGCTCCTTCGCCAATTCACCTTTCTGGTGGCTTGATCAAAACAGTTTTATTGACTTTGTGTACAACCTGACATTCTGCTTTTTCAGAGATAAAACCTGGGAAGTCCATGAGTACTTAATTGGCCTTCATGAAGAATTAAAATCTTGGCGTGATGTTTATTGGCGTCTCTGGGGGACTGTCAATTGGTTGACCTGCTCAAGATGTAATCAAGTTAGTCTGTTTTCATTTTCACTTGTTTGATAGCTGGTTTATTGTGGGTGAGGTTTGGGGGTGAGGCAGAGATCAAAACAGGTCAGAAAATCTATTCCTTCCTTCCTTTTGGCCTGTTGGTTTTGTCACCAACTGGCTTCCAGTGATTTTTTATTTATTTAATTATTTATTTTGAGTGGGAGAGATGATTGTTTGCATTGTGGAAGTAACAGATGCTGTGGTTCTTGACTTTCAAGTACTATTTTTTCCATCACTTTCCCTTTTCCTTTTGTTCTGGCCACTAAATGCAAAACAAGACTAAATTAAAATGTTTATTCTCTGGCTGCTCAGGTTTTAGTGAGTGAAATAGTCTTCCTATGGGTTATTGAGTGTTTGCACTTTGGGGCGCGGCAATAAATTTTGATATGCATTCCTTGTAGTGCAAAATTAACTTCCATAAGTAACCTCATCTCTCATTATGTCTCTTTTTATTCTGATGTAGTGTTTCCTGTGTACTGAATTCTCCCATTGCCAGTACCATCCACAGCCAGTTCTTTATCCAGGTGTAGCAAGTGCTCTGGGCTCAACTGGGACAGGAGTATATCCCTGTTGTAACCAAAAAGTGCTTCGATTTGATCCTACTACCCTCCCAAAGGTACTTAAATACTAGCTCACTTTTAAAACAGCATAACAAAGGGGGAGGAATGTGGAATATGTTATAAAAATAGATCTTTTCCAAAATAAGGATTGTAAATTGTTGCGGTATCCTGCAGACTTGCTGCAGGGTAGGATGAGGACTGACCCCTGAAATCAGTCTCCGTCCTGTTTTAGTGTCTTGATCTGAGAACCATCCAAGGATAGCAGCATTCCCTGGCTGGCAGGGTGGAGCATGGGTCTGGAGGAGAGGGCACTGCAGTAATCCCAGCAAAGCTTTTTTTTATTTCTTTCCATTTCTATAACAGCATGTGTAGTGCAAGCAAGGGATATCCATCTGTTCCCTTTTGTCTTTATACATTTGACTGTTTAATGCTAAAATTGAAAATGAAACAGTTCTCTAAATATTGTTTTTCCTACATAGTGAATTATGCTTTACTTCTCAGAATCTCTGCTTCTAGAAGTTTGTTAACTTTAGCAAGAGCAGAATCAATGTCACCTCTAGAATTAAAACCTCATCTGTATGGTTTACATCCTGAGAAAACTTCTGAGTTTATAGACAAAATGTTTTTAGAAAGCTAATTTTTTGTATTGTATTTACCAAAATCAGTTCTTCCCATTAACTCATTTCTCTGACGTGTATGTATCACAGGGCTGTCAAGTGAGGGATCACATGGTCGGCTCGCCCTCAGGAAATGAAGATGAGGATGATTTATCATCTCAGACTACTAAAATACTGAATGATTTGCTCCATCATAGAGACGTTATTGTTGTTCCTTTCACTAAGGATGAGAATAGGTAAGAACATCGCATTGTTACTGATATCTTAGCCTTGAACACTTCGTGTGTTCATGTTGAATTTAATCTCTCTGTTTTTACATGGGTGACAGGGCACTTTCTAAAGGTAACTTAATTGGAAAGAGAAGAACAAATACTGTTGCCTTTTACATTTCAAGTAGATGTGTAGTCATTCAATCTCCATAACCATTCATTCCTATCTTTATTTATATTTTAATGGATTGTTAGCAAAATATTATGTGGGCGATCTGGGAGCGTTTTTCTTTTGATGAGTACAGAGAGACTGGTTCTAAGTTGTGAAATAGAAAAATAATATAGTTTTGTTTCATGTGTTTCTCTAAGTGACTCTGGCATTGGGCTCTGTGATGAAAAAGGCATTGAATGTGACGTACTCGTAGAGCCAAATACACCGTGGGGCCCCAAAACTGGAGAAGTCAATGCTGTGAGTGACTGCTAATGTTTTTTCCCAATCTTTCCAATAATGAAGAGCCTTACAAGGGTACTTTGAAGAATTCATTAAATAACCTTAACAAATAAATAAAATACATTGATAGAGGAAAAGGTGCACCACTGAGCACTGCAGGATAGCATAGGCTAGTGAAGGTATAAAATGCCTAGTTGATTAAAAAGTGAAACATTTACCAACTCTGCCAGAAATATTTCTGTAAAGCAGAAATAATTCTCTGGGTGTCTGAGCTTTGCAGCCTGTTTATAGCCCAATGGTATTTAAGGAACCAGTCATATTCTACAATACATCTGGTGGCAAAGTTTATTTATTGCCACCTTCATTTGTCTACTGATGCATATCTGGGTACATATGTCCCTGTGTCTTTTATAAATCCATATAAATGAAGTCCAATAATCTGCTTTTTTTGTTTGTTTGTTTATTTCCAAGGCATTTACTTCCCAGTACATAGTACTTTTCAGAGCTATGATTCATTTATGTTTCTATGTCAGATCAAAAGAGATACTTTCAATGCCAAATTTGTGTAGACTGATTATAGTACTACCTCTCTTTTAAAGAGATCTTTCATGCAAAGATAAGTTTTTGCATCTGCACCCGTTATGGAACTTCTGGTAACTCAATGATCCTGATGGTAGCGTGATGCTGCTGATAGCATAAGAAGTTCAAACAGTGTCAGTAGCTCTCCAGCAACAAATGCAGGAAACTAAAATCTTAACTCCGTAATGATCTGGTGCGCAACAGCCACCCAGCCCTGGACTGTTTTTTCGTATTACAAACACGTATAAATATTTTTAAGCTAAGGTTAGACAAATTAAAACATGACTCTGAATTCACCGTGTTTAATTGATTAATAGTTTACAATTTATTTGTCCAATTAGTCATTCCAGCAAAATATAAAGCTAAAAATGAAAGTAGATTTTCCAGGAGCTACCAAGGTGGATTGCTGTTACTTTTAGCATGTTGTTTTGGGGATTCTACTCACTTTTTTTTTTTTCCTTCTAATCATAATTAATTCTTTAACTTATATCTCTTCTTTTTGTTACTACAGTTTCTTTCTCTGAAGAACTGGACTTTACAACTGGTTAGTAAAATGTTTTGTTCACATTTTCAGGCATTTGCACTTCTGCCATGGCAGAAAACTAGCTTTGCTTTTTTTAATCTTATTTGCTTACTAATTTAGACAAAAGTTTTATTTTCTTTTGTGGTAATGTGGAGGTTACATTATAGATTATAAGTATGTGTGAAGTGCTACGTTAGCCTGAATAAAAATTAACATTTCCTTTTAAAATTCTTATAAATGATAGCAATAGACCAGCAGCCTAGTAGGTCATTAGGCAGACAGAAATGTAAATCTTCAAAAACAGAGTTTTTAGTGCCTGTCTCTTTGGTTTGTCTGAGATGTATGTATCCAAATGATGTATTCGTAGTGTGCTGCAACATGCATGCTCTATTACTTAATTACTGAGTATCTCAGCAGTTTCAGGATATAGCAAGCCTCAGTAAAACCCTAAGAAATCTTGTATTTTACTATATTTTATGGCTACATGGCTATCTCAGATATTTGCTATCAAAGCTTTAATTTTCTTATTAAATAGAAATAATATATCCAACAATATTTTGGATGCTAAATGCAGAATCATGCAATGATACAGGCTGGGAAGAGATTTCTAGTGGTCATCTTAGATATTTCATCTCACTTGCAAACCAGGGCCGACTTTAAAGTTAGACTCAACTTCAAAGCTTTATCACTTTGCCCGTACCCAGACAAATATTGGTTATCTCTGAAGATGGAGAGACTACAGCCTCTCTGCGAAACTTCTTAGAATGTTTGACCACTTGGGAGAAATATAATAAAAAAGTTTGCCAAAACATTCTAAGCAAAGATCTGAAATTACTTTCTCAACATTTGGGAACAATTTAACTTTGCACGTAGTTACATCACTAAGATGTGGAGTTAGATTTGAAAGCAACTCCTCTGGGACAGATTTGATGTATCATTAATTAGGAATCAAGCCTCGCCTATAATCTGTGGCACTTTTAGAAACAGCAGTCATTGTTATCTGAAGAAGAGGAGTATACCACTGGCTCAGAGATCACTGAGGATGAAGTGGGGGATGAAGAAGAAGTATGCAGGAAACCAGGTATAACAATAGTGTGTATATTCAACCTCTCTGGAATTTTAGAAATAAAGACTTAAGACAGCAGAATTATTCTGTATAGAAGCTCTAAACATTAGGAATTTTTTAAGTAAAAATATTATTTCAATTTTATTTCTAGTTTTTCTTTGTTTAGGTATAAATTACCCTATTGCTAATTGTCATCAAAAATATTGGCGAACAAGGGAAGTTGGAACTACTCACATTCTAGATGTCCTCGAAGTTGATCAAGGGCATATTTTGCAGGAAGGCCTATCAAATGACTGTTTTGAAGTTTTGACTAGATAAATGTTGGAAAAAATGCAGTGGCTACATAGCTATACTTCCTACATGCCTTTGTTTTTTAATACTGTTGTGATTATATGACACTATGAAAGGACTAGTGGGTATGGCTAGAACTTTGTCTGCATTAAAGATAAGCTCTGTATAAGCTAAAATGATTTTCATTTTTTTTGTTGTTGTTTTAATTATGATAAGGGGTTTAGGAATGTGGAAAGCCAAAAAAAAAAAACCAACAGCTTTTCCTTTCCACATTAATAATGAGCCACTTGATCTGAGGCACTTCGTTTTTATTTTTGTCTTAACTTGAAAGAATAGGAGTGTACAAGTTCATTTAATTTATTTTAAAAAAAATAAAAATAATTGCATGAAGATTTGTAGTTTGACTTCTAAGTTGTTTTGTCTGATATCATTCAGTTTGTTGATTAATTTAATATGGTCAGAGATGCAGTTTGTATGTGTACTTACTTTTTAATTTACAAGAGAAAACTTGTTCAGTTATGTGTCATTACCGTTTATTTCAAATATGTGTTCAAATAATGCACGCTTCTAATGGAAAAGCATTTGAGTAATCTGTGTGTATTACCATGTCCATAACACTGACAAAGAAAGAGAAAATTACCTGTTTGTTTACTTTCCCTGTAAAGGAATAGGGGAGAAAAGTCCTTTTGTAGCAGCGTAGTTGTGAAATTCCAGATATCTGTGATTGTGTCAGTCAGTAGATTTTTATTTTTTCAATTAGCAGGGAGAAAGGAGAAATTAAAGAAATTCTACAAGCACCCAAAGAAAGTGCTTTCTTCACCTAGTATTCAGAAAAAGGAGAAGGCATCTGAGAAGGTAAAATCAGAGCTGTGAAGTCAGCCTCTCTGAGTTGAATAATGAGGATTTTACTTAAGTCTTGGACATGATGTTAAAATATACTTAATGTATTTTTATTTCTTTGATAGTCAAGTTCCCGAGATGCATCTCCTTTCATGTAAGTAGTTCTCAAAGTCCTTGAGAACTTACTGTAGTACGTTGCTTTCTGTAAACTGTTACTGATAACGTTCTGTGCATCTTTCTTTTCTAATCAGCGTGAGTATGCAGCAGAACAAATGGGATGCCTCCAGGTCACTAAGATTCAATCAAGATGCTCAAAGAGAAGATGGTCCGTTCTTGCATGAGTCTAGCTTTTGTAATCTTAATATTATGCAAAGAAAATTATTCTTTTACATAAGAAATGGCTAATTTTCTCGAAATATGACAATTTAGAGAGCTTTAGCTTGAATTTAATCTCAGCTATAAGGGTTGTTTTTTTCATAGTTCTTCCTCATTTGGAAGAGAACACACTTCAACTAGGCTAGCTGTTAGTAATCACCTCTATCCAAACTACACAGCAATCTCAGATTCTTCCAAACTGTACAAAAATATTCATACAGCTAGGAACTCCTAAAAATATTACTTCAGGATTTGATTGGTGTTTATTAGCAATCTCATATATTCTACAGGAGAAAAATCTCTGTAGCAGGAAAATTGAAATAAAATCCACCATGTAAAACTAAATTGGAGTCTTGCACAAAGGCTGAAAAATAAATGGGCAACATTGAAACTTCTGACTAAAAATATTGGAAAAGAGTTCCAAGTTTGCAGGAGAAAAAGAAAAAAATATTCCAAGTGTATGCTAGGGTGCTTTGTTTTGTAGTTTCTCATGTGTAATCTCTGTAGGTTATGTGGTGTCATATGGTGACTTGGCAAGAATGCAAATATTTTTTCTTGCATCCCTGTACCATTTGTTGTCTGGGCAAATAAGTAGAGATAAACATTTACTTGCATCTCCTTCCCAGTCTTTCTGACTAAAAATACTTAAAGTTATTTGTTTATTCTTTTTTAATATCTCCTGAGATTTTTGTGCATTACTGCTGTTTTGAAAATCTCTGCCTCAAAACCCTTTCTGTAGTTTTTTTTTATCTCAGTGTAATTCCTCAGGCTGATTCTGGTATCTGCCAAGAATACTACTGAAGCTAGATTATTCATTAAGATCGAGAATTTTGGTTGCTCGAGGTTTTTGTATGAGCTGAAAAGAAAGAGTATTATTTTTGCAAATAGGATATCACTGAAGTGTGTGTAGTTCTTCTCTTTGTCTTCAGCAGCAAGAAAAACCTGTTCTAAATATTCTTTTTCTGACAGATCAGAGAAGAATGTCTGAGATTACAGGGCACTTAATAAAAATGAGACTGGGAGACCTTGATCGAATCAAATCAAAAGACAGCAAAGAAGTAAGTCTTTTCCTGTGTTTACAGAATTAAAGTGGTCCTTAGTAACAAAAACATGTGACAAAATTGAAAATACTATCTTCTCATTTACTAACATGGAGCACTGAATTTGATTGATTTTCATTTTCTTGTAAGCATGGGTGGAGGATTTTTGGTTTTGTTTTTTGTAGGTTGGTTGTTTTCTTGTTTTGGCAAAGCAGTTAAATAAACATTTTCAGCCTTCACTGACTTTAAAAACTGGATGTGGAAAACAGGATGGGTTTAAAAGGTTTTGGTACTCGGTTGTGGCAAAGAAATTAGGCCATAAGTTCTCCTAAATATTAATGATTTTTATGAAAAGTCACTGATTAAACTGAGATAATGTCACAACTTTTTTTTTTTATGCATTCCAGTATGCAGGAGGTATTTATTCTAGACTTGAAGCTCAGATAAAGGCCTCAGCGCATGTCAGTACCCGACAAATCAATGCTGAGAAGAATGCCAGGTAAGATATTAAAATAAAATGAAAATGCAGAACAGGGATCTCTGGGGAGGCTGTGGGGGGTGGAAATTGTTTAAATTAATCATGCTTCATTTCATACACTTTTTTGCATCAACATCCCTTCTGGCAGGTTAACCATATATGATGTGAAAGCTTCCTTCATCAAAGTAAACTACAGCTAAGAGAGTGAAACACTTGTGCCTGTGCTGGAAGAACTGCTTTTATGTTGGAAGACTTGCTGTTCTTTCAATATACATTTTGTTGAAATTGTAGTGAAGTGTAACATTGTTAGTCAAGATTCTTTAGCCCATCCTCTGGCCTCCTTCCAAAAAAAACCAACCAACCAAAAAAAACAATTAAAAAAAAATGTTCATTACTATATATTGGTCATCTACACCTCAAAAGGATGAAAGAAAAATTAAGTGAGGTGCTGGCAAACTGGTTTTAGAGCCTAGAACTGGTCATAACTTGGTCAGTAGGTGAGTCTCTGAAGCTAAACCTTATAATGAAGCTGTTGACAGACTTAAAAAGATGTGCTGGATGCTTCAAATATCTTATCAGAGGAATTTCTTGCAGGTCTTATTTCTGTCCAAAGAATGCAGGTGCCCGTAGTGATGCAAAAGAAGTTATTTGACATTACAGTTCTTTGAATAGCGTTACAGTTTAACATTACAGTTCTTTGTTTGAATGCAGTTTGTAGCTGCAGGTATATTGGCAGAGAGACAGCTTTCTCAAACTGTGAGATGTTTTTCCTCCTTCTCTCAGAACACACTAACATGAAAACAACTTCAAATAAATACTGACCAGAGAGCTACTTCATAATAAGCAAACAGAAACTTGAGCTGTAATAACCCACATATGTTTCTTATGTGCTCCTAATCCAGGTCAAAATCCCGTTTTGGTCAAGGCCGTCCAACATAAGGATTTATGGAAAAACTGTAGCTGGAATACTTCACTGCTTCCTGAAGCTATATGGCACTTTGATATACGGAGAATGCGTATCTCCAAAAGCTTTGACTTGATAAGCAGTGACTTATTTATTACTTTTCACTTTGTAAATTATTTTGTGTGATAAATGAATGCAAGTCCAATAAGGTCTGTACTTATTTCAATTGTAAATATACTATTTCTTATATTTAAATTTAATTGCTTTTTAGGCTATTGTGTTGAGTTGCATAGAAAATATTTTATAAACATACAAAGTTAACTTATTCAACTAACTTTATTTATGGGGAAGACAAATATTTCTTTTGGTATGATAGAAATAGTAAAAAGGAAAAAGCAAGACTACTGAATTCTGAGTACAGTCAGCAGTGTTAATACTGCTAAAATATATATATGTATATTTATGTTGCATTTGATAGTATGTTTTAGGTCAGTCTTCTGGGGATTTGCATTTAAAGTCAGTGACAATACAGTAGCTGTGACTTAGATTAGTTTAAGCAGTTTAATGCAGTTCTGAGGCTTCCTTCTGTATAGCCACACAATTCCCATTGATGTGAAGGTGGGTATCAGGTGGAGACTAGACCTCTGAAGATTATTGAAATACTGTGATGATGCAGTATCTCATCTTGCATGTGGAACACTTGCTTTACTTGCATGTGAAATTAATTCTTATTTCTATATCATACCTGATTCCTCTTGCACAATACAATGTTTTGTTCCCGTCTGATGTCCAGACCTTAGGAGGCAAAGCAGTTCCGTCTCTTTGCCTTACCACTAAATTACCTAGCAGATAAGTTATTAATTAGCCATCTTCAAATGAGAGGAATCATTAGGACAATTTGTGCATATAGATATTTTGGGTCTAGTTTCTATCTGAAACCTGCCTCAATAACACTGTTTAGAAGTCAGATGCACTTTCAAGTTCCGTATTTGGAGCAATAGAATACAAGTTTGTGTATATGTCAAATCTAGGGCTACCAAAATGAAATAAGTTGCCTAGAAAATAATTCATATATGAGCAAAGAAAATGGCAATAATGGCAATAATAATGGCTGAATTCAAGTAAACACATTCTGACTTTTTTGAAACAGGTAGAAAGAGCGCTCAGGGAAAGTTTATTCTGGACCACAGCTGTAAAAAAACAAAACAAAAAAAAAAAGTGAGTTTGGTGTAATTTTAAGTCTGCAAGATCCTGGGGGGAAGGACAGGGTGGGACAAGGAGAGGGAGATCATCATTGAAATGCACTCTTCTCTCCACTCAGGCCTTTTTGTTTGTCTTGTTTCTTGAGAATTTTCAGTAGGCATTAGAAGACTATGATAGCAATACTTGAAAATATTGCTTTCAATGTGGAAGATTTTTTAATAAATTAAAAATGAATGTTTATTATGTGTTTTGTCCAATGCAAATTCAGAGCCCAAATGAAACTAACGGGCAAAACTGTGCATTTCAGTGGCTTTGACCTGTATTTAAGGAAGTAAGGCTTTACTAATGCCTCAGGTCTGTTTGCAAGTAGTACTGCAGCTTTAGGCCATTATAATAAACATTGAAAGACTGATTGTTGTATGCTGAAAGAGAAAGTATTTAAAATCCACTGAATAAAAAAAATAATTAACAGAACAAGGGTTTTGCTACAATACTGTAGCTTCTGATAGAGGATTATTCCAAATAGTGAACTTTGCCATAAAAGTTGCAGGCTGCATGTGTGTGTGTGTTGTTTTCTTAAAACTACTGACTAGAAAAGGAGGGAAAATCCTTCTGGTTTTGTTTTGTGGGGAAAAAGCTAGTTTTATGTGCCAGTATTGTTATATTCAAAAGTATTTTTGAGCATATAACAATAGCATACATGATATGCGGTCTTTTTTCCCCCCTTGCCTACCACCTTGAATTTTTATCTTGTATTAATTTTGAAAATTGTCTTGGTTTAATGGAAATAAAAGTTACTGATTTAAGAAGTGTGTGTTTTTTATGGATACTTACAAGAAATAAATAAGTACATGATTTTTTTTATGACGTCAATCATGCTTGTGTATTTGTGATTAAATTGCAGCTTCATGATACAGGCTTTTTATCTGTCAACATCGGAATATGGATGAAGGCTGAACTGTCCCAAATCTATGAGAACTTGAAAGTATTTTTATCTGCATTGAGTTTTGAAGCTGGATTAAAAGTTCCTGAGTGAGGTACCCTGCAAATGACCCAAGTATGCAAAAAGCCAAACTAAGCTATGCTAAAAACATATTTAAGTTTGCTTCCCACTGCCACAGTGCCAATAATACCTTTTAAACAGTCTGACAAATCTGTGAATAGGATTAGTTTTCATTACTCTGCTTTTAGAACTTGCTGTATGTATGTCCTCTATATGTATGGCTGCAATACAGAAACATTATGGCTCGAAATTTTGGAGAAAGGGCTAGAACATTAAATTTAGCCACAGTAATGGCTCCAAGAGAAAAAGAGTACATGTTAAAAGAAATATGGACGTATAGTTGCCCTGGTAAGTGAATAGACATGAGCGTATTTGACATAACTGAAAGGATGCTTATTTTTGCGAGAAGGGAATTGTTTTTTTTTAAACATTTCTTCATGTTCTTGTTGAGTGTACAGACATACTACGTTACATTGCAGAATTGCTCCTTTTTATGCGATACTTGCTTGAACAATTAGGTGAAGTTCCTTGCTCCTTTTGGCACTTCCCATTCCATACTTGGCAAATGTGAAGCCTTAAGGTATTCTTGGTGTCCAAGATAGCAGCATACATAGACAAATACTGAAGCCATTCCTTCTGCAGCTAATTCTTGGTGAAATCTAATCTTTATGAACTGTACCACTGTGTTCTGAATTGCAGCCAGAGAGTTTCTCTATTTTTTTTTTATAATTAGGCATAATTAGGAAGTAAGGGAGACTGCACTTTATTCATCTTACAGCAGGAAAACGTATACTGTTGAATTCTCACTTGGCTGTCCCTGGATGAGTTTAAAACAAACAAACACAAACCAGCCAAAGGCTTGTCCGGACTTGAGGTCAAGTTGCAGCGCAGAATGGCTGTGTCCCTAAGGTTGCTCTCTCTTCCTGTCCCTGAGCATCATGATTTCATCACGATGAAACCATCAGCCAGTTTGAAAGCAAAATCAACAGACACAAGTTGCACGGGACTGCACTATCTCCTCTTGTCTGGGAGTAGCAAGGGCTTTGGATGGTAATTTGGTCGGTGGTGCCTGGTGTTGAAAGTTGGCCCTGGGTTTGGGGAGGACTGCACACGCCTGCACAGCCCTCGATAGGTGCCTGTCATTTGTAGTCTGGTGTGGTACAAGTGTGCATCCCACTGCTTCTTGTTGTGTCCCGTGTGTTCAGCACTTAACATTCCTCAGAGACGTAGCTGGTGGCTGGGCTGATACATTCTAGTTGTGTTTTAGATACTATCACCTCTAGAGGACAAATGATCTTCATCTCCACTCTTTTCAGGGATTGACCATTATGAGACATGGGTGGTGAGGGCACTGTTACGATGCCTCTCTTTGAGCTTGGGGTGTTGATGGCAGAAAACAATTACTGAGCTGAAGGAAGCATCTTGCATGGCAGCCTTTGACTAAGACCATCTCAGCTAAGCATCTATTGCAGCTTGTAAAGATTGGAAACAGCACCGAGCTACATCTGAGCAGTAGTTTTAATTCTATGCCTACCTGTATGTGACCTTGAACTTAAATTGTTTTTTGCATTGGGTTTGTGTGTACATCCTTGTGCCTACATCCTTCAGCTTCTAGGCTGCCTTTCCACAGATAATGAGGAGTGGAGTTTAATACTTCAAGTTCGTACATGATTTTTCATTGACCTTGCTACTAGAGGTCCCTGAAAATATTGATGCTGTTTCACTTTTACTGTGATTTGGAATGTCTAAAAGTAGATCTTCATTAGTGGAATAAGATTGCAGCACTGAAATATGTCCAGTGGTCAAGCGTCATGGTTGCTAGAACAACCTTTTGGTACAAGCTTGAGCTTAATGTAGCCTCTGACCTGGCTATGATAGCACAAATCTATATGATGCTGTTCAGTGAACGCAATCAGGAAATTTCTGTCACTGAAAAATATCTCGAGCCTACTTTTTTACTTACTTGTTCACTACTCTTCCAAGGAGGTATTTTGTGCATGGATCTGTATTCTGTAGTTTGCTGAATAACCTGGTGAGGACCTGGCCAACATGGATACAGGGAGCAATCATGCAGGGGAAGAAAAATGGCTGCTTTAGATTTGCTCTGGTAATAACATCACAGAATACATAAACATGGCTGAATGTGGTGTTCAAAAGAGATGGTGCCCGTGATTAAACTTGTAATACTTTCATGCCCTTCTGCTTTAACTGCTCCCACCCTTCCATTGCGATTACTTAAGGCTAAGAAAGCATAATGATGATTTTATTTTTAATTATGTGCAATTTTATTGTTTGGCATTTCACTGAAGCTAATTACTTTTGTATCCATGGTAACAAAACAAGTGCTGGCACAAACGCAAACACCTTGCTTTGGCAGCACTTTTCTTACTGCGTAATTAATTGTCCCTTTAAATTAAAGGTGTATGTACCTCCAGTTCTGAAACAAACTTCATGACTGGCCAAATCATTTGTAGACTTTGAAAGCCTCCTGCAAGTTTTTAGTGTCTCTCTTTTTCTTTTTTTTTTTTGTGTGTGTGTTTTGTTTTTCTCGGAGAAAACTTAATTGAAGTCAAATGCGGACTTAAATGAAGTCAGACTGCCGGCTGAACCTATTCTGAACATGCAAGCTATCTGTAAAACACTAGGTACATTTCAGAGGTGTCTGTTCTCATCACATCACACAGGAACTACTGTTCTCCTAACAGCAACTTTGTATTTATTCTTTGTGGAACAGGCTTGTGAGAAAATAATCTACCATTATTAAGAGATCAAAAGGGGCAATATTGGATCCTTTGCTATTTGGCACACTCTATTTAATTATCTTTTCCAGGGAATACGTATGTTTATCTCCCACTGGTCAGGGCATCTTGTGAGTACTAAATTGCAAATTCATTCATTTTTAACTCTATATTAAATACTAAAATTAAAAATGGCTTCTGTTGTTTGTGCTGTAGCACAAAAAGTGCTATTTCCTTGTTGGCTTATTTTTATTGCCCAAAAGGGACTTTGATCACAGACGCTGAAGATGATAAGGGTGTTATATAGTCTGTGGGTTTTTCTCAGAGGCTTACTGCTGTCTTTTCCCTTGTCATTGAAGCATTTGTCAAGATAGTTGTGAACTTCTGATATAGCAAATGAAATGATTCTTTACAAATATTGTATATGAGAAAACAACCATCTATTTTGGCCTTCAATAGTGTATTTTTTCTGCAGTGCTTATGGCGCTTTCAAGATCTGTGAGTTTTGTTTTGATCAGTTGGGTTACGTTCACCTGTCTTGATGCACAAAGTAAGTAATGTTATTTTTATAAATGTTTATGATTCTAGACTTGTTTTTATTGAAACAGGACAAAATTAGATTTATTAATTAATTAAATTTTAAGTTAAATTAGATTAATATTAATTACTGTCCCAGAGTTTTAAAATACTTTGGTCTGTTGATGGATAAAGCAACGATATCTGATTGAGCAATCTTCTTGGTGCCTATGGAACTGGACTTTATGAGGCTCTGTGACCACAAGTTGAAAACCATTGTTATTGTATGTATGGTGGGCTTTTACAAGTTCTTGTTGAACTTTAAGGTTTCATTATTTTCTACCTGCAGCTGACATTGAATACGATACCTAGACTGAAGCTGAGTATGGCGAGGTGTAGTTCTGAAGTTGGGTTCACTTGTATTCCTTTCTGATGCTGTTCTGTTAAATTAGATTGGAGTAGTTACCACTTCCGTGCCTGGTATTCTTAGTACTGGTAATGACTCCATTAAAAGCTCTTTTCCAGAAAGTGAGAACTGTGCCATCTGTAGCTAAATCTGAGTGTGGAAAGAGGGTCCGAGTGCCTAAACAGAATTTTAGTCCTTCAGACTTTCTCTAGAAACTTCACAACAGTGAAAATACTGAAGAGCCCTTCCCTTCTAAGGGAAATTCAGGTTGGGTATTAGGAAACGTTCTTCACCAAGAGGGTGCCTGGGCCCTGGGACAGGCTCCCCAGGGAACTGATCGCAGCATCGAGCCTGCCAGTGTTCAAGAAGCATTTGGACAGTGCTCTCAGACATAGGGTCTGATTTTTGGGTGGTCCTGTGTAAAGCCAGGAGTTGGACTTGATAGTCCTTGTGGGTTCCTTCCAACACAGAACTCTGTTTCTGCTTGGTTCCAGGGAATTGCCAGGAATGGCTGAGCAAAACTTTTTCTTCTAGGAGAAAAAAAAAAAAGGCAATACAAGCTTTTATTTTATTATTGGTTTTCCTTTATTAAGCTACATTGTAACATTTAAACCAATTCCAAGCTTCCAGCTTTCTGATCTTTTTCAGCGGTACACAGCCTTGCTTTCCAAAGTAGGCTTTTCAATATGTAGATATGGAGGCAGCGAATTACTCCTGTGAACAGCAGCTACTCATTGTAGAAGTATTCTTTAGGAGTTTGTTCAGTTACTTGTGTAAAAATCTGTCCATTGTTCCCTTATAAAAGAGATTCTGTAGGGTGGTGCAAATCTGAGGGCATCAGCCTAATGGGCAGAAATAGTCCCCTATTTCTTTTACTAGTTATTGATTTGAATACACAGTAAGAGTGACAAGGAGAAGAGCGGGGACATGCTTAATATTGATGCAAGCCCACATTAGGCCATGAAAGATGGATGCACAAGTATCCATCAGAACATAGCTTGTGCTATGGCAGCTTTGCTGAGTAATTCTGCCCAGGGAAGGAGGAGAAAATCTGGTGTGACTTCTCAGTGTATATTTGTAGATCTAGAAAAGAAGACCATCCCTTTTTATCATTTAGAGGATATGTAGAGAGGGTTCACTGAGGTA